TGGGATGTCAGGCCAGGATCAAGGTCAAAGGAAGAACAAAGGATTCAAGGAATATCAACATGTCAACAAAGGAAGTGAACAGCCTCACAGTACCTGGAATGCCTCTCCCTTCCCTCCCTAGAAGACCACCCACCTGGCTACACCACAATGGAATGACCCTCCCTTCCCTTCCTAAAGACACTATAAAACCTACTCTAATCCACTTTAGGTCGTGGGTATTTCCCTGGTTTGTCCCTCTGCCTGTTTCTCTCTCTGCAGACCAAGGGATCCCACATTGGCCTTAACTAAAAATATGCATTCATATGATAACAAGTAGTTCAAGGGGCTACTGAACTCTGAGGCCAGAGGTAAATGGTGCTTAACTACTACCATTAAATGCTCTGAAAGGGATCCTATTAGAATGTTGATAAAATGGGAAGGAAATGTATCACAAAACTCAGAAACCAGGTTTATAGATCAGATACTGGTGGAACCTCCAAGACTATGGCCACTAGTCACCATTAAAGTCTGGAAATGAGGGAGTGGGGGGGTGAGGAAGCAAACTAAAGACAACCACAACAAAAAGCCTGAAAAATAATTCACTCCATGTGGCTGGCTCAACTTTTAGGTAAACATTTAAAAACAAGGTGAATACCATGGAGGTACACACTCAGAAAATTAGTTATTCGAGATCAAATGAGCAAGAGTCAAAATAAAATTTCAGAAAGGCAAGAGATAGGAAAGAAGGACAATAGAAATGGGAAATTGAGGAATGGATGGAAATAAAAGTTTTAAAAACCAAAACCATACTCTAAGAGTACTGAAAACAAAGAACCACAAATAAAAACATTTCAGAGAGGATTTCCTAGAACAAGAAATAAAAATCTGAAAACTAAATTCTCTCAGAAGAGAAGGAAAGCTTCCTGGACCACAACTGTTATGAATAAACATTATGTGGTGCTTTGACTTTGCGTCTTTGCAAGCTGTAAAATAAAAACAATTTAATGGCATATACATACCTTAGTCAGGCTAAAGTACCATAAAGTCATTCAAATACTGTTTTGGGGTTTCTTGCCAGAGCTTGATCGCCCCTTGTCCACTTACTGTTTGGACTATCTAATCATCAAAGAGCATCTCTGGTTGAACTCTTAATGCTTTCACGTGAAGCGATGAAGCCACCCTGTACTCTGATTTCCCAAGAAAGCATCCCAGCATCTCACCTCATAGTCTTTCCTTGGAAGGATCTCATCATCCTCCTCCTGGGTTTCTCCAAGGATAGTCTAGAAAAACAGATTCACAGAGAAGAGATCTTCTTAATAATTAAAAGTGGAAAGAGGCAGAAGTGCTAAAAGAAACCAGTTGCTGGTTTCTAAATCATCACGATACGTTATAGCAAATGGTAATATGACCTAAAAAATAAAAAAGATATTTCCGGGTGGAAGGTCATGTGGTTGAAAATAAAGTCATACAGAAGAATTCTTTTTGGCACCTATATGACAATGAGATTGGCTCAGGATAGGGCAGGATTCAAGGCTACTGTACATACAGGGTCGCTATTAGTCGCAGACAACTCGACAACACACAACAACAACATATAAATACATTCTCCAAATAATCACTCTTGTCTTTAGGATACTTCAAAGATGTCCAAGGAGGGACATGCTAAGGGGGAGAGTAAAACACCAAAAATTCCAGGTTCCAATCTGACAATGTGTCAAATCTGAAAACAGAAGAGAGCTGTCAACTCAAGGGACACAGCTACTCAAGCGTTCCATTATGCTTTGCAGAGGGGAAGTGGATAGTCAGTGACCCAGAAAGGGTGAGGGATAAAGGAAACTCTACAAGGAGAAACTAAAACAGTCGCATAAGCATAAAGTCCTTCCTGCGCAGGGACTTATTCTGAAAACCCTTTCATCCAAAACTCCTTTCAGATGGAAATAAAAAAAAGAAATAACGAGTAGGACTGATTAACTAGAGCTGGCCTGGAATATCTCTCTCGAATCCCTGGGAGGGGCTAGGAGAAAAGATTCCAGACTTGGCCATGGGCACATGCAGTGGGACAGATGCTTTGAGAGCCTTGGTTGCAGTCCCCAGGCCCCACCCGCTGCCACCTGCAGGCCGAATCGGTCCGGCCCCACCTCCGTCCGGCGACGCCTCCCACCGTCCCTTAGCAACTACCCCTTCCCCAACTCAGCCTCGGCCGTTCCGTACCAGCTCCTCTGGAGTACGGGTCTCACGTTCACCACAGCAGCAGCACCACTTGCAGCAGCAGCACAGAGACCCCCTGCACCCCGCCATCTTCCTCCTTTACAGCCACGCTGGACCCCTTTGCCACCCCCTCCCATTCAGATCCGCGCCTCACGTGACTGGCCCTGGACAGGTCACGTGGCCCTCTCGAGCTTGGGGACGGAGACAGGGAGTGGCTGCAGACGGGTGGGGCGAGAGCTCGCGTCACATGACGGTGGAGGGTGGCTTCCAACCAGCCTCTGGGCGAGGCCATGTTGGAGGCGGGGCTTCCGGTGCCTGCCCCAGTGGTTTCCGCCCTCTTCCCCCTCCTTCCTTAGCAACCTGATACCTTTACCAAACCCCCCGGTCGCCCCGCCCCCTCGGCAGGCGGTGCTCAGTGGCGGCATTGCTGTGGCGGTTGCTCGTTCCTAGTCACATATTCCCAGCGGGTGAGTGACCGTAAGGAGAGGAGTCGTTGGGGAGAAAAACTCCTGAAGCCGAGGAATGACCACCCTGGAGAGGGGAGATGTTTGTGGGCGGAGAGCGACAGAGGCCCGCCCCCCTTTACATCGAGGGGAGGCTGCCGCCCCCTCAGTGCACGCTGCGCTTTGACTATTGTAAAACTCGATGATTGTCACTCCCCAGGGGCCCCCTCTCTCTGAGGTGAAGAATCACTTTCTCCCCCAGCCAGAATGGACAGGATCTTGGGGCTGAAGGTAGTCCTAGCCCCATAGATCTGGACTCCTATCCAGTGACCCAGTTACTCGATTCCCGGTTGTCGTACCATCTGGGTGCCAGCAGCGACGTCCAGTTCCACCCTTTAAACCTGCCACTCCACCGAACAACTGGAGGGGAAGAGGTGTGGGTCACTGGCACTGCTGTCCCCCGCGCCCACAGCATCTAGCTGCACACCCACCGTGTCCCCTCCGGAATGGTAGAGCCCCGATCCCCTTGGCGCTTGGCCCAGACAAAGTAAGTGCTAAGTAGATGGCGGAGAGTTGTTTTTAGAATGGAGTGGCAGGGCCTAGCCGGTTGATGCTCACAGTCTGTTACTCCCATGTGCGCTGGAAACTGACAGCTGACAACCACAGGCAGTTGGCTGCCACCGTAAGGAGACTGGGCCCTGGTCCTAGGGATTGGAAGGGAAGAAAGGGGAGACAAAGCTGTTAGTCCACATTACAATCTAGAGCGGTATGGGAGCCCAGCTCAACATGATTGAGAGAATGAATAATTGGCACGTGCCTGGCACTTACAGGGAATGCAGTAAATCTTTAGCAAGATCTTTAGTGGATAGTTTGTTGGTGGTTCAGCAGCCTCCCTCTCTTGGCTTTATTCCAGCATTGACTGAAGTGTTCTATTTTCATGGGAAGGAGGCCAGCCAGACTGCATTTACCATTGCCCCCTTTTTTAGTCCTGACCATCATCCTCACTGGAGTTTTAGATCAAAATCAAAATGGGTTTAGTCTCAGGACTCTGCCTTTGGATACACCTGTGTATGACCTGAGGGAGCTCTGGTGACCTAATGGGTCACAGCTGACTGCCAACCCAGCGGCAGGCGTTCAAATTTACCGGCTGTTTCGCGGAGAAAGAAGGGAAGTCTATGTACTTTATAGTCACTGGTCAGGGGTCCAACTTGCTGGGGCACTGAGATTGAATGTTGAATATGTTATATGTGCTTGTGAGTACTTTGGGAGAGTGACTTAGTCGTTCCTTTGTTATCCCACGTTTGCACAGGCCAAATTTTCACCAGTGTGTGTGTGTGTGTGTGTGTGTGTGTGTGTGTGTGTGTGCTTTCTTTAAGCATTTGTCTTCTACACCGCCCCCTCCCCCATTGATCTGCCAGCTGGCACTATTAGGCTGCTTGTGGTTGCCATGGTTCCAAGCTTAGTACATGATGGGGGTGCCGGCATTGTAATTGATCAGACTGACTTCTGGGTTCTGAAAGTGAATAGCCCGGAAGGACTCAGAATCTGATCTAAATTGATGCCCCTGCTGAACTTGGGTCTGGCTGTTGTTAGAACTCCAGCAGAAGGTTCTAAACAATGACCTAGTCTTAATGGAGTATCTCGAGCTCAGGAAACCTGAAGCTGCATCCAAGTAATGAGGGCCCTTCTGGGAAGGACCAGGCCTAGCTAGTCCCTCTTTGTTGAGTGATCCTGAACCTCTTGACCTCTCCACTGGCCTCACAGTCTTGCAACTCTCCCCCCTCCTTCCACCTAGTGCTCCTCGGCTTTATCTGCTTTGCTGGGAGCCTCGGCCCGCCCTCCTGCCTGGAGGCCTTGCCCCCGCCTTCCTGCTCCAGCCTCAGCTCTAGCTCGGAGCTTTTCCTTTGTCACAGCTCCGCCCAGTCAGGCCGACCCGGTGGGGAAGTTTCCTCGGTTCTCTCCCCACTCATTTGTGGTCTGAACTGGGACACATGGACCAACCAAAGGCCAGGACCTTCCCGGCCAGGCACTGCAGCTTCCCAAGAATGCCGGCCTGGGAGGCTGGCAGTGGGAGGTTTTCGGTGCCACCCTCCATCAGGTAGTTGTCACCGAGGCCCTGTGGGCTGAAGGAGCATGTTCCCGTGCCGGGTGGGGGCTGCTATGCATGAAGCCAGGCAGAGATGGAGGGCAAAGCTCTGAGTGACATTTGTAGCAGAGGAACTCGGAGGACCTGGGTAGGGGCCATGTCAGCTTTCCCTTCTCCAGCCGGCCTTCTTCCTGTGTCACTAACTGGAACCTACCACTCTGGTGCCGAAGCATGCCTAGGGCTTGGCTGCCTGGCTGCTGTGACACCCTTGCCCCCACCCCACCCCGTGCAGCAGGAACCAGGCCATGGTGAACGAGGCCCAAGGGAACAGTGGCCCCAGCCCCAGCCCCCACTCGGAGAGCAGCAATAGCGGCAGTGAGAGCTCCAAGGACAATTCAAGATGTTCCACACCTGGCCTGGACCCGGAGTGGCACGACAGGCTCCGGGAGAAGATGAGGCGGAGGATAGAGTCGGGAGACAAGTGGTTCTCTCTGGAGTTCTTCCCTCCCAGGACTGCTGAGGGTGCTGCCAATCTTATCTCCAGGTGAGTCCGGTCAGTGGGGGGGAGGTGAGCTGTCCGCCCCCTCAGCAGCTCTGCCAAGAAAGGCAGTTGGAGAAGGTGGGAAAGATCATCTTGAGTCTTTCACCCAAATCCAGTGTTCTCGAGTCCTTTCTAACTCAAAGCAACTCTCTCCATCGGTTTCAAAGCCTGTAATTCTTTATGGGAAGAGACAGCCCATCTTTCTCCCACGCAAGTCTGTCACAGTATCGGGAATTTTTCAGACACACCCTTTTGAAAAATCCAGTAGTGAAAATTGCTTATGCTCTCAAATTCGTCTCTGGAGGAACTGGGGTCTGGAGTTAGGGAAATCACAAAGCAGCTACTTAGAGAATGTTTGCAGTGAGTTAAGGATTTGGATTAGGCCTATTGGGTTTGAGGACGGCCAGCTGGATGACGTCCGCACTGCAGTTTCCCTCAGATGCCTTTTACCATTTGTACATCTCATGTGTCTCCCCAGGGTTTGGAGTTTTAAAGGTACAAGGACATTTAAAGATGTCATGTTGTAGTCAGTAACCCACAAGTCCATCTGTCTGTGGGGTTTTAGTGTAGCTTAGGGACAGTGGCCATGGCCACACATGATTGCAGCTGCCTTGCGACAGAGAAAACCTGGGGCTGTGACCTTCCTTTATCCAGTTCCTAGAATGAGGCTCTTTTCCCTACTCAGAGGATTTCTCTCACCTTTGATTACTGAGGTGTCTTAATTCACCCATCTGTGAAGCGCTACTATCACATTAAATGGTGATATTGTCATATTATGTCCATAGTAGCAGTAATCATCCTCATAGCAGCAGTTTGTACTCGCTGAATGCTCAGTACCAGGGACTGGTCTAGGTTGTTTGTGCTTCCATCAGTCACACTATTCTTAGTGTTACTGTGAAGTAGTAGTAGTTGTTATTAGTCCATTCTGACTCATGGCAACCCTGTGTCCAGAATAGAACGATACAGGGTTTACAAGACTGCACTCTATTGGAAGCAGACCACCAGGCCTTTTCCCCCCAAGGTATCTTTGGATAAGGTTGAACTACCAATCTTTCTACTAGTAGTTGAGTACTTAACTGTTTACATCATTCAGAGACTTCTCTTACTATGATATGAATTAGGTATTGATAGCTGTGATATTTTATCAAGGAGAAGATACAGGCTCAGAGAGGTTAAGTGATTCACTGAAGATCACACAGCTCCTAAGTAGCGAAGCCATGACACGAATGCAAGCTGGTTTGACTCCCTCCAATGTGCATGTTGTGTGTCTCCAGCTCCCAGACAGGGTGAAGGGTGCTGCTTCCCCAGAAACCCCTCTTCAGAAAGACATTCCCTACAGGTTTGACCGGATGGGGGCTGGTGGCCCCCTCTTCATCGATGTGACCTGGCACCCAGCTGGGGACCCCGGCTCCGACAAGGAGACTTCCTCCATGATGATCGCCAGCACCGCTGTGAACTACTGTGGCCTGGAAACCATCTTGCACATGACTTGTTGTCGTCAGAGCCGGGAGGAGATCACAGGCCATTTGCACAGGGCCAAGCAGCTGGGACTGAAGAATATCTTGGCTTTGAGGGGAGGTGTGGGGCCAGCACTCCTTCCACCCCCGCCCCACCTGGGTTCTTACTGCCTGATGGCCTGTTCTGTTGCTAAGGTGGTCTTTAGTTTCCACGCGACTCCACCCTGATCATGCTCAGGGTCCCATCCTGAGGCATTGTGGGTTGTGAGTCGGCTATGGGCACCACACAGATAGCCACCTCTGACACAGTCAGGGCTTCAGTTAGAAATGTACCCAGGGCTGGGTAACCTTCCCTGGCCACATATGACTTCACTGATTTCTGGCTGTACCCCAGTTGTGGCCCAATCAGCAAGTGTAGTACTGGCCTTTGTCCCAAGTGTGAGAATAGCCAATTATGTTGTCATTCAGAGAATTCAGACGTGGGAAGAGGGAGCCTGCTGGGTGAACAGGATGATCTGATGCTTCCCACTAAAGGCCATTTTTCCTTGCTTGAGCTGGATAGAATTCTCCCAGGAAACAAGAGCTCCAAGAGAGTGGGAGAGGAACAGGAGCATTGGGTATAGTTTTCCTGGACACACTCAGGTTGAAGGAAGAAAGGAATTTCAAATCTTGCTGGCAAAATGAGGCAGGCAGCTAATCCCTGGTCACTCCATGCACAGCAGCCAGCACAGAATCAGCACTTAGTAAGTGCAGTACAGGGGCTGCTTTCCAGTTACCAAGTGCTGTGCTGGAAAGGAGATGAAGCTTAAATCATACGAGGCCTCTGCTCTCAAGGAGCTCACAGTGCTGGTGGAGGGGCAGGTACAAGGAACAGAAAGGCTATTAGAAGTGAAAAAAGGCCTAAAGAGGTAGGACAAGTTCCAGTGACCGTGACCTCCACCCACCTTGCAGACCCCGTAGGTGACGAGTGGGAAGAGGAGGAAGGAGGCTTTAACTATGCCGCAGACCTGGTGAAGCATATCCGAAGCGAGTTTGGTGACTACTTTGACATCTGTGTGGCAGGTGCGTTTCCGGTGTCCCAGTAAAGGTCACAGAAGGGGTCACACTGCCCAGCTCTGAGCAGAGACACAGAGAGCCACCACCACTATTCAGCTGGGATATCAGGTGCCCCAAGGACTTGAGCTTGTGCTGGATGAGGGAGGTGCAGACCGGAGTTAATGTCCTCACCCTTGTTGTATTATCCTCTGCCCTCCCAACTCTACACCCCCCGCCCCCGGGTATTTGATTTTCTGTGCCTTCATGCTCTTAATCTCCTTTCTAGCCCTATTTTGCTTTAAAACAACAACAACAATAAATTTTACCCAATTCCAAGAGACAAGAAAGCTCAGAAGCCGCTAACAGGAAATAGCATGAAACCTCACTAGGTTCTGGAACTGAGAACCAGGAAGCAAACCGAGGCCATCCTTCATGTTCGCAAAGCCACAGAGGCAACCAGTTCTGTCTTCCACTTCCCAGATGCTTCCTGCTTTATTACCAGAGAGTTGATGTCTGTGGTGTTCTGGGCACCCAACAGCCAACATCCCCTAAAAAGTACACAGTGTCCATTCTCGCCATTAGTCCAGACTCACTGACAGACCTCACTATCAGTTCCAGACTCCTGGGAGAGAAAATATGATTGGCCCAACTCTAGTTCCACTGGTGTAGCCAGAGAGAACGTGGTAGGTTGGCCTGCCTTCTCCCCTTCCCACTTCCTCAACTAAGGTTTGGACCTTCAGCTTCTCAAACAGGATGAAGGCACAGTTAGGCACTGTGTATCGAGCACACCAAAAGCCTCTGATTCATCTGCCTTTTCTTGGAATGCTAGGTTTTTCAGTTGTTTTGGGGGGAAATAAGATTTAAAAAGCATGGCTAGATTATGAAACAGTAGGAAAACAAACAGATTTGTCCTGGAAAAGGTTAAACCGGGTGGCTCCTTGGAGCCAAGGATTCTGAGGCTCTAACATACTTTGGACATATTGTGAGGAGAGACCGGTCCTTGGAGAAGGACATCATGCTTGGGAGGGTGGAAGGACAGCACAGGAGGGGAAGGTCCTCTATGAGGTGGATTGATTCAGTGACTGGGATAATCGGAATGGGAGTGTCAGAGACAGTGCGATTGGCACAGGACAGAGCAGAGTTTAGGGCTATTGTACATAGGGTCGCTATGAGTCGCAAGCGACTCGACAGCACACAACAACATATCAAAGTGTATGCCTTGACAAAATGAACAGTACAGCTTCAGGGAAATGTCTCACATGCAGTAGGTGAGTGACTATTTAGGCTTTATCCACTGTCCCCACATAAATGTCACTCTCCTCTATCAACAAGATGCTTCCTTAGGTGAAAATTGTTAGAAGCACTGGGAACAATGGGCCTTTCCTACTGTTCAAAGGTCTGTTGTTTATACTGCTATGAGGCAGTCCGTTAACTGGGGACTGTGTGTTAATTAGGACTGTGTCCTGCTGCCCCAGTCACCAGTGGAGATGATGATGGCTGGGAACTCAGAACTGTGTGTGCTTCTACTGGCTCCAGTGTGAGATAAAGGAGCTCATGGGATAAGAAGCACTAAGCTGGGGGAGGTAGCAAAAGAATATAGTAAATTGAGCAAAAATCCATATGTAATCAAATGCTAGATTTGTTTGATGACATTTAGGCTTTGTCGTTACACAGTATCAGCTCTTGAAGGCCTCTGTTTCTGAAATTCCTTTCGGAAAAATAGCTTTGTTACTTAAAGTGTGTAAGTCTGATATCTGATCCCTCCCCTTACCCACTGAAGCACTTCTTCATATCCGTTTTTGATGACGTAGGATTTAAGATTGTAACTCCCTTATCATAGCACAGCAGGCTGTGCTTGGCTGCCAGCGGCCCAGATCTCATGCTGCCCCTCCCTGGCATGGGGTCCTGCCCTGGGTCAGGCTGAGGAAGCCAGGAGGACACTCTGTCGTGTCATGAAGGCCTACAGTTAGCCTGACTCTGCCTTGCCCTGCCCAAGTCGGGCCACTAGTCAGTTCAGTTGCTTAGAGAGGGGCGATAGAGCTTAGAGTTCAAACTGTCTTATTGCTATCTGGTTGCAAGTGAATTATAGCTGGATTTCCAGCAGAGTTTTAGAAGCTTATCAATCACATGGGAGGAGATTGCCAATCTTGCTCTCCCTCAGAGCTGCTGGGGGATTCAAACTACCGGAGAGGCGTGGCCTTCACGTGAGCAGTGAACCCCGAGTGCCCTCATAGAGCTGGCATGACCTTGTTGTTGTGAACCATCGTGCTGGAACCAACTCAGAGCTGATCCTCCAGTGAGTAAATTGTCCAGAGACAGTAAATTGCACAGGAGGGGACTGCTCACCTTTCTCTTGCGGAGCCAGTGGATTCGACCTGCCAGCCTTTGGGTTGGCAGTGCAACTCTTTTACCACTAAGCCACCAGAGCTCCCTAGAAGGGCCTTAGTGAATGTTTAATCCAAACTCCCAGTCCAGAGCCTCATCTTTGATACCCTGCAAGATGATCTCTTAGCTACCCCATTATTGTGGCCTTAAGGAGTTCATTGTTTTGTGGGGCTGCTCATTTCCCTTTTAGACGGCTTTCCAGAACAACCTGGTTCTGCTGTCAGGAGGAACAGAATCCAAGTAATAAGGAATTCGACTACGTTGAATCCTTTTCCCGTCATAGAGGGTGATTGTTATCATATTTTGTTGGTTCTTTAAGCAAAACAGCTCTACTTCAGTCCTTCCTTGTATAACATGTGTCTAACTTTTCACTGTTTTGGATGCATGAGTAGTTTTCATTAAAAGCAACAGTTTAATCTTATGTCTTAGATCCAAAACAGATCATGTGTAGCCTGACCAGTAAGGAGTGAGTATAGAATTTCATCTCTCCATGGTAGAGTCCTGATTTGCCTGGCTGTCTGCAAGGAAAATGAGACAGGACAGTGTGGGGAATGGTGAGCCACTCCCCACCCTCTGGGAGAGCAGCTGAAGCTAGGTCCCCACTGAGGGCCACCTCTGGGGTGAGGAGCTCATTAACCAGTGGACAGGCAGCCACTCAGGGTTCTAGCCATGTCCACACTGAGGGTTGGGAGGTGTGACCCGGAAGCCTGAGAGAGGCCTCCCTGTTTCCGACTCTTTGGCCTCTTCATCACTTTGAGCAGGTAGAGGCCAGCCTCTCCCTACTGTCATCCCTGTTGGCAGGTTACCCCAAAGGCCACCCCGAGGCAGGGAGCTTCGAGGCAGACCTGAAGTACTTGAAGGAGAAGGTATCTGCAGGAGCCGACTTCATCATCACCCAGCTTTTCTTTGAGGCTGACACATTCTTCCACTTTGTTAAGGCTTGCACCGAGATAGGCATCACCTGCCCTATCCTCCCCGGAATCTTTCCTATTCAGGTGAGGGTCCCAGGAGGGCTGATAGACACCTCCCCTTCCCTACCACTGTCCTACACAGCCAGGTCTCTGGCACCCAGTTCCGAGTTCATGCTGAAGTTTTTCTGTGATGCTCACTATATTTCGCTCCAGTGCCATCTTGCCACCCCATTTTGGTTACATCTCATTTCTCCTTCAAAATACCCAGCGGTGTGTGGGAGGGGATCATTCTACTCTGATCTACCAACAAGTAGCATGAGATTCTAACTCACTCATTCTGATGAAAAGGTTAAAACCATCCCAAATTTGATCATCAGAATCACCTTATAAGCTTGTTCAAAAAGTAGTTTGCCAAATCTGCCCCTGAATGGTTTAATTTAGTAGATCTGAAGTGTATATAAAGTTTTGCAGGTGATTCTGATTATTAGCGAGGCTTGAGAACTCCTGGGTTAGGGGGGTTACCAGTGAGTGCTGTTATTATTGAGTATACCTAAGAGTTCAAAGGACTGGTTCAGACAGATGGCAGAACTGCAAGTGCTGTGTATGCAACAGAGACTGGGGCAAACAGCACAACTCAACCAACTCGAGGAACAGAGCACAGCTCTCCTGGGTCACTCCACACCGCACTGCCGTTGTCCAGGAGACGTGGAGAAGGATGAACAGATGGTAAGAGATACGCTGGGAGATGTCACCCACCTCCCCTCCTGTTTGGACAGGGCTACTACTCCCTTCAGCAGCTCGTGAAGCTGTCCAAGCTAGAGGTGCCGCAGGAAATCAGGGATGTGGTGGAGCCCATCAAAGACAATGATGCTGCCATCCGCAACTACGGCATCGAACTGGCTGTGGACCTGTGCCAGAAGCTCCTGGCAAGTGGCCTGGCGCCAGGCCTCCACTTCTATACTCTCAACCGGGAGGTAGCCACCATCGAGGTTCTGAAGCGCCTGGGCATGTGGATTGAGGACCCCAGGTGAGGCTGAGGCTGAGGCAGTGCCCCTGTGTTCAAACCAGGAAGCCAAGGTGGAAAGGTGGGCAGGGGAGTCACGAATAGAGCTGTGCCTTGGCAGTGCTGGCGAGCGTGGTCTAGGTGAGGACTTCATGTGTGGGTTAAGGTTTACAAGTCAGACCAAAGAACCCAAGTTGACTGGGTCTTCCCTTCTTTCTGCTTTGCTGAAACCAAACCTACTGCCACTGAGTCAAGTCTGACTCAGTCACTCTGTAGGCAGAGTAGAATTGTACCTGGTGGGTTTGAATTAGCAAACTTTTGGTTGGCAGCCAAGAACTGTGCCCCCCTAGGCCAATTTCCTGCTCCCTGTAACTGGTCCCTTATGTGTAGTCTCCCTTCTCACCTAGGCGTCCCCTACCCTGGGCCATCAGTGCTCATCCCAAGCGCCGGGAGGAAGATGTGCGTCCCATCTTCTGGGCCTCCAGACCAAAGAGTTACATCTACCGCACCCAGGAGTGGGACGAGTTCCCGAATGGCCGCTGGTGAGCCCCCCCCACCCCCGACCTTCTGCTCCAAAGGCAGGGACAGAGGAGTCTGCATGCTTTGCGTGAGCCCTCGAGGGGATGGCATGGTTGCCTTGTGTATATATGTGGTAACTGTCCCCTAGGACCAAGGGTTGCCCTTTGACCTGAGGTGTCATCCCCTCCAGGGGCAATTCCTCCTCTCCAGCCTTTGGAGAGCTGAAGGATTACTACCTGTTCTACTTGAAAAGCAAGTCCCCAAAAGACGAGCTGCTCAAGATGTGGGGGGAGGAGCTGACCAGTGAAGAAAGCGTCTTTGAAGTCTTTGCCCACTATCTGTCGGGAGAGCCAAACCAGAACGGTTGCAAGGTGAGTGCGCAGGCCTGGAACCTGGAACCCAGTTACACACCACAGCCTGTCTCCAGCCTTGAGCTCCACCTGGGGGCTGTGACTTGCCTGCTGAGCCCCGCACCCTCCTTGTCACTTTTCACATGTGGCACTTGGGCATAGAAGGGTTGGGTGAGTTTGGAAACTAGCACCTGGGGATGCCTGCCAGGGTCTCGATCATAGAAGTCAGTGCAAATGTCTCCCAGTCATCCAGGGGAGGTGGGAGGCTTTGAGGACTGAGAGAAAGACGTCTAGGGGGCCAGATGTGATCGCTGCCCTGGTTAGTTTGCCCTCTCCTAGGTGACTTGTCTGCCCTGGAATGATGAGCCCTTGGCGGCCGAGACCAGCCTGATGAAGGATGAGCTGCTACGAGTCAACAGACAGGGCATCCTCACCATCAACTCCCAGCCCAACATCAATGGGAAGCCGTCCTCCGACCCCATCGTGGGCTGGGGCCCCAGCGGAGGCTACGTATTCCAGAAGGTGTGGCAGGGGGTGTGTGACCAGCACCCAGGGGCTCTCCATAGGGTCAGGGAGAGAGAAAGCCTTTCTGTCCTCAGGCACTTTGTTCTGAACAGCAGTGGATGAGAGTACACAGGAGCTCAGACCCAGGTTCAGATTTGAGCTCTGCCATTTACTACCTGTGTGATGCTGGATTGTTGTTGTTATGTGCCGTCAAGTCGCTTGTGACTCATAGCAACCCTATATGTACAACAGCCCTAAACCCTGCTCTATCCTGTGCCAACCGCACTGCCTCTGACACACCCATCCCGATTACCCCAGTCACTGAATCAATCCACCTCATAGAGGGCCTTCCCCTCCTGCGCTGTCCCTCCACCCTACCAAGCATGATGTCCCTCTCCAAAGACCGGCCCCTCCTTGCAACATGTCCAAAGTATGTCAGATGAAGCCCCAGAATCCTTGCCTCCAAGGAGCAGCCTGGTTTAACCCTCTCTAGGATGAATCTGTTTTCCTCAGTTGTCTCATCTGTAAAATGGGGATATACTTTATCCTGTCCTGGAGATGAACTGTAGCAAAGCATGCAGCATGCTGAGCAAAGTGGGAAGAGCACAAAGGAGTTTCACTGCATGGAGGTGTGTTCAGTCTTCTGAGCTGACACTCCCCTCCCCTCCTAGGGCTACCAGAGTTGAAATTACATTCTGAACTAAAGCCAAGGGGTTTTGGGAATGAGTACCAGCCCTGCTATTTACTGTCAATGCGGCAGGTTGTGCAACTTCTGTGAACCTGATTTCCTCGTATTTAGAATGGCGGTCATAGTGCCTACCCTGCAGTAGTATGAGCATCACAGCCCGGTCGGTGAATCAGGAGGATCCCCAGCCTAACCCCTGGCAGCTGGTGTTTAAGCAACCCTCCCTGTCACTTATGCAGTGATGGGAGGATGGAATGTGGAATGCTTGTTTCCTTAGCTTTTCACACCAGGCCTTATGCACAGCTCCCACAGTGGTCTCTCCCTAGATTTTCTGTGATGAGAGTACAGGTAGCAGGCAGGCACTCCTCGGACCTGTCTAAGCTGAGAACCTCACATTCCTCTGCCCTGTGTTCTTGTGTATTTACCACTCACAGCTTCTGATTTGATCCATGTGCGTGCGGCCTTGCTAGTCACAATATTCTAGATGTCCTACCATCTGTGTCTGAGCCCTTCTCTGGGACAACTGGGAGCAGGCATCTGCCTAGCGTGTGGAGCACACAGCATGCCTGGCAGCAGATAGAAGGTGCTGGAGGGACACTGGGTTGCTGTGACAAGTGTTTGTCCCCTCCACAGGCCTATTTAGAGTTCTTTACATCCCGAGAGACCGTGGAAGCGCTGCTCCAGGTGCTGAAGAGATACGAGCTCCGGGTCAATTACCACATTGTTGACGTGAAGGTAGGCCAGCTCCAGAGCCCACACGGTGCAGGTCACCCACTTCTATTTCTGTCCTTAGCAGTCACTAAGACCTGGCCCACGGCAGGCTTCATGCTAGACAGAGATAGAGACAAAACCAGGCCCTACCCTGCGAAAGCTCCCACCTGGAAGGGATACAAACAATTTTGAATCCGTACATGTAGGAAAAGAAAGTTTGGTTTTGCATGCCAGAGGAGGGACATGTAACCTGGAGTTAGCTTCTTGGAGTCATGTGTGGCCTGGGTGCTGAGGAAGGAGAGGAGTTGGCCAGAGAGGAGAGGGCAGTCCAGGGAAAGGACAGATGGATGCCAAGGCACCAGACTGCTGGACCAATGGGGGAAACTGCCGTGGGAAAGCAGAGGCCAGGCCCTCAGGGATCTTGACTGTCCTGTTCAGAACTGAGTTTTCACCCAAAGGCAACAGGGAGCATTTCTCTAGTAGTGGAATGGCTTAGTGCCATATTGTGAGGAGATCACTGTGCACTAAGACGGGAAACAGGGAAGCAAGTTAGGAGGCGTCGTGCTCTGAGGAGTCCAAGTAGAAGACAGAGCCCTGACAGTGGGCTGGGCTGGAGGAACCGAGGAGAGTAAGCAAGTGGCGACCACTGGATGCCCAGTGAGGAACGAGCTACCCAGAGGATGGCCAGCTTTTTTTTTTTTAAAAAAAAGGTTAAGAGGACCCGAGTGAATTTAGATTCTTCAGCAATAAAAAGAACAGTTGTGTGCTCTTACGCTTCACCCATCCCATCCTCAGGGTCAAAACATCACCAATGCCCCCGAGCTACAGCCCAATGCAGTTACTTGGGGCATTTTCCCTGGGCGCGAGATCATCCAGCCCACAGTGGTGGACCCTGTCAGCTTCATGTTCTGGAAGGTAAAGGTGCTGGGAGCAAGGTTCCAGGGTGGCAATATTGCCGAGTCTTTGCTGAGTATGTAGCTGGAGGACACACCTCCAGGCCTAGCTGTCTCAGATTGTTTATTCACCATGTTTATTTCTGAGTGGGAGTGGGGTGGCCCTGGTGACACCCCTTATTCTATTTCTGGAGATATCTCAGGAAAACCTTGGGCGTGGAGCATGGATGGGGCCCTGACCTATGGGCCACCTGTTGGCCTTGCCTGCTTGCAGGATGAGGCCTTCGCCCTGTGGATCGAGCAGTGGGGTAAACTATACGATGAAGAATCCCCGTCCCGCATGATTATCCAGTACATCCATGACAACTACTTCCTTGTCAACCTGGTGGACAATGAGTTTCCGCTAGACAACTGCCTGTGGAAGGTGGTGGAAGACACGTTTGAGCTGCTCAACAGTCCTGTTCCGGAGTGACAGGCAGACTGTGACCCGGCATCCCTAACTGGGGCTACTTTAGTCCGTCTGTCCTGCTCCTCCCAGTCCTGACCATCCCAGGAACCTTCACTGTCCTCCTCTGGCGGTGAGCCTGTCCTCCACCCCCACGATGATGGCAGCTAGCATGGTGTGAGGCTTCCAGACTCTGGCTGGACTGGAGTTCATCCCACAAGGAACCTGGTGTTCCCGTGGGGCCCCACTGTCCTGCATATGGGGGGCACATCACCCTCCCTGAGGAAAGTGGCTGACTGTTACAAACTGGGCCCATGGACCAGGGCCGCCCCTTGGAGCCAGCCTGAGACGCCAGATGAACTTGTGCTTGGGCCTGTGCAGGATGGGTACAGTGCATGTGGGCAAGAGCTGCTGTCTGCAGAAGAGGTGTGGCTCCAAAAGTTAACTCTGTTCTCTTGGTGCTTCAAGAAAGGAAATGTCCCTAAAGGGTTAAAGGCAGTCTGTACCCTTGTGTTTAACTCCACCTTCTAACACACACACCCTTGAAGGATACTTCTGCTCCCATTCCTGTCAAGGGCAGGGAAGAAGTTCACAATGGAGGGGCTGAAGCACTTCCTCTGGGGCGGGCCAGGGCCAGTCTTGGGCAGAGAGTGGGTAGCCTTAGCAGAGACTGAACAGAAGCCACCAGGACTCAGGAGGGCACTTTATTGTCTCTCAGAGCTTTGCCCCCAGGTCATGGGATGTCAGCCTGCACTCCCCAGATGGGTGGGCCACATTTCCTTCCCCTGGGAAGGCTGGCTCACTTCTGCTTTTGCCTTTATGGGAACAAGTCACAGCTGGGCCTCTGCTCTGCTCTGAGTCCCCTGATGGCAGGCTCTGAATGTCTTCCGCCTGCTCCCAGGAGTGGGGATGGCGGAGGAGGACCTAGCCTCCTTGGAGGTCCCAGGCTGCTGCTCGCTCCACTTCTCCAGCCCCTGGCTGTCAGGTGCTGGTGCCACCTCTCAAAAGCCTAGAGTTGGAAAGGGAGGTGGGAGCTGTTTGTGTCAGGCCTCCCCCCAGGGTCTGCACTGTTTGTGCAAGGGTCACAGCTGTGCTGGGTGCTGGCACTCTCTCCAGGGTGCTGGCGCGGTCCCTCCCTCACCCCAGGCCAAATTCACAGGCTCAAAATAGATCTGACTGCTGACTGGGGAAGCTGCGCTCCAAGCAGGGGCAAATGAGGGGCTGAGGGTCAGGCCGTACTGGAGCAAGGGTGAATGGCCGCTGTGGGCTCAAGCTGGGCCTGGTTACTAAGGAGGACAGGGAGTGGGAAGCCACTGGGCCAAATCCAGGGTTCCCAACTCAGCTGTGCTTCCTATGGCTAGATGGATCGTCCCTGAAATAAAGAGATCATGGGGAAGAAGCCCTGGTGGCACAGTGGTTGAATGTTTGGCTGCTAACCAAAAGGTCAGAGATTTCAACCCACCAGCTGCTTTGTGAGGAAGACGTGGCCGCTGGCTTTGTACAGATTACCCTGTGAATGGGTCTGCTGTCTTACTGGGTGCTCTGAATTAGAATCGACAGGATGTCAATGGATTGGGGTGTGGTGAACAGGCCCTGCAACGACATGTCCCCATGTGGTACTGGAATGGTTGGCAGGGTAGGGCTACGCTAGTGGTACCTGGGAAAGGATCCAGCTGTCTTCTTGTCGCAGAAAGCGCTGAGCCACCCACAGCTGCAGGACCCGCCGCCTCCACAGCCTCCAGGCCCATCTCAGGTGCCACTGCCTGAGCTATGGGGGCAGTGGACATAGAAGGCCTGGGGCTGGGTACACCGCTGGTTCCCATACCCAGCTCCCTGGCTGCTCGCAGCCTTCTGATGGCAGGAGGGTGACGCTGTCACTTAAGAAGAGCATTAACAGTGCAGATTCCTGGGCCTGGCCCAAAGATCTCAGACTGTAGGTCTGTAAGACCATACTTTAGAAACACTTTGTAGAGGTTAGGGTTGAGAAATGGCTAGAATGGGGAGATGAGCCCCCAGGCTCTGAGGCCCCCGGTGTCTCCACTTACCAGGGTTGCTGCTAGCTGCTCTTCCCTGAGAGCATCTACCCACTGCTGCCACGCAGCTGCTAGGCACTTGGCCTGCTGGGAGTCCCGAAGCTGGCCAAGCAGTGCCTCGAGGTGCCAGTGCTGTGAGTTCCTGGTCCTGCAGAAAGAGGCCTCAGTGTTTTTTCCCTCAGAGACACTGCCCTAGAGCTGCTGCTCCAGGCACTATCTGCATGCACTGGCCAGAGGAAGCCAGCTCACCGGTTCAGACAAGCCCCCAAGCTCTATCTTCTCACACACACACAGCTTCCTTCAACCAAATCCCACACAGCCAGCCATGCACAGCTGTCCTTGAATACCTCCACTCCACTCCAATTGTCTTTACCCTCCCCCCGAAAGGCTGCTTCATTCAGATTCCACACCTCACAAACACCTGTGCCAGACCTCCCCTGCTCGTGCACAGCTGCCTCACTCAGATAGCCGCCCCCCCAGGCATGCCCACAGCCACTCTCACCCCAGCCTCTGGCGCTCCTCTCCAGAGCCTTGGAGGGATCTGCTGCAGTGTCTGCCGGCTCCCAGAGGGGATCTGCTGGGTGTTGTCTGAAGGGGCAAGCACTGGGCCCAGTGACAGGAGACAGGCCACTGCAGCCAGAGCTGCACAGCACGATGGAGGGGAGGCTGGCAGGGTGGGAGCCACCTGAGATCCTGTACTGGGTCATCTGGAACGGGGAGTAGTCATAGAGGTTAACTGGCAAGTCAGCACAGATGCTCCTAGGCGTGTGCTGTGACAGGGTGAGCCACAAACGGCAGGAGGAAACTGCTTTCTCAGTGTGGCTGAAACAGCCAAGAGGAAGAAGCGAATGGGGAAGGCAAAGCAAATGCATGTAAGACAGGTTCACCCAGGGGCTTTGGGGACTGGGGACAACCTCTCCTTGCACTTCAGACCTTGTTCCCAAAAGGAGACAAGGAGGGCCTCCTTACCCTGAGCCCAGGGCGTTCCTGGTGGCTCCCTCTGGTCAATGAAGTGGAGGTGCTGCTCTGACCTGGGCAGCCCGAGCCCTGGGCTCTGAGGGAACAGCCAGGGAGGGAAATCAGGAACTTCTGAGCCAGGGGGAGGTGGTACGACTCCATCCCCCTGACCATTTGGGGTGGTTCCCATGGCATCGCACCCTCCATGTGCCCCAGGTCCCTCAAGGAGACTAAGTGCCCCAGAGAATGGCTGGCAGCATGCACCTCAGCCCGTTCCTCTCCATCCTCTCATGGGAGAGGTGCCTCTGTGCTGGGTGCTGGGTGAGCACTTCCCATGAGACCCTGCGAAGCAGCTGTCTGTCCCCACAGTGTGGGAGCAGTCTGGTTCCTGCTATGACTGTTCAGACCAGGGCTCTCTATGGAGACTCTGTGCCACAATGAGCAACACCTGCACACTAGTCTCCAAGTGGCAGCTGGCTGGGCACTTGGGTACATATGGGTTGAAAGGAGGAGACACAGGAACCCTAGTTACCAGCCTTGAATTTATGGTGGCGTAGTCTGTAGGGAGTTGCTCCACTCACCATAAGGCAGGGCCTCTGCATGAGCTGCCTTGTAGGGGAAAGATGAGCAGTTGCTTCTGGATGTGATTTATTGTTATGTGCCTCTGAGTCACCGGAGACACATAGCGACCCTATGTGCAGCAGCACTGAACCCTTCCCTGTCCTGAGCCAGGCTCACTAGTTCCGACACACCAACCCCCGTCACCCCAGTCGCTGTATCAATCCATCTCATCCAGGGTCTTCCTCTCTTGTGTTATCCCTCCACCCTTCTGAGCATGATGTCCTTCTCCATTATCCTTAGTCATTGTCCAGCTCTCTGATGCATAGTAAGTAATTGCAAAGACCATGGCCTGGATTAGGCATACCTTAGTCTCTAGATTGACATTGTTGCTTTTCAGCACCCTGGAGGGGTCCCTAACAGCAGATTTTCCCAATGCAATTCATCTTTTGATTTCCTGACCGCTGGTGTTACATTGTTGATTGTGGATCTGAGCAAGCTGTATTTGTTAAAACCTCAATCTCTTTTCATGGTGCTGCTAGTTGGCCCAGTGGTGAGAATCTTCATCTTCTTGAAGTTGAGCTTCAATCCATATTGAAGACTACAATCCTTGACCTTCTGCAGCAATTGCTTCAAATTCTCACTCTCAGCAAGCAAGTTGTGTCATCTGCATAACGCAGGTTGTTGATGAGTCTCCCTCCAATCTTGATGCCATATTCCTCTTCATAGAGTCCAGCTTCTCGGATAAATTGCTCAGCATATAAATTGAATATGTATGGCAAAAGAATATATCCTTGATGTACTCCCTTCCCAATTCCAAACCATGCAGTGCTCCCCTGCTCTGCACAGCAGCCTCCTGGTCTAGATCTAGGTTCCTCATGAGCACAATCAAGTGCTCTGGGAGTCCCATTCTTCTCAGTGTCAGCCACAACTTGTCATGATCCACACTGTCAAACGGCTTTATATAGCCAATAAAGTACAAGTAGACTTTTTTCTGGTATTCCTTACTTTCAGCCAGGACCCATCTGACATAAGCAATGATAACCCTGGTGCCATGGCCTCTTCTAAATTCCGCTTGAACTTCTGGCAATTCCCTAACTATGTAATCTATGTACTCTTCCATCCATTTTTAAATGATCTTCAGCAGTATTTTGCTTGCATATGGTATCAATGATATTGTTCAGTAATTTCCACATTCAGTTGTATCACCCTTCTTGGCAATAGGAACAAATGTCATTTATATACCGAGAAATTCACCCTGGGGTCAGCTATGAGTCAAGCTGGATACAATTAAAAAGCAAGCAAGAAAAAGACCCCTTTAAAAAACAAACAAACAAGCAAACAAACTTTTCTAAAATCTTATACAACTGGCATTCTCAAAGTCTTCCTGGTGACCAGGGGTTAAGCATTTGTTTGCTAACTGAAAGGGTGGTGGCTTTTTTGAGGTTTCTTTTTGTTTTTATTATTATGTTTATTTACATAATTCAAATACATTGTTTTCCAGAATAGATTTTTCAAATTTCCCTCACTTCCCACCCATCAAATTGTATAACTCCATGATTAGTCACCCTTCTCCACCTGCACATTCTCATCCCTCTACTTCCACCCCCTTTCCCCCCTCTTGGATCCTTAAACTCATTTTATAATAACAGTTTTATACAATATTTATCCTTGTGGTACTGAGTTAGTTCACTCAGCATAATGCTCTCCAGTCCCTCCCAAGTTAGGTAATATTTTACAAAGCTATTTCTCCTGTGTGCCACATAGTATTCCATTGTATGAATGTACCATACTTTCTCAATCCATTCTTTTGTGTTTGGATATCTGGACTGTTTCCATGTTCTTGCGATGGTGAATAATGCTGCCATGAACATTGGTGTATAAGTCTCTGTTTGTGCCTCATTTATCATTTTCTCAGGGTATATTCCAAGCAGTGGAATAGCAGGGTCATATGGAATTTCTATGTTCAGCTTTTTGAGGAAGTGCCAAACTGCCTTCCAGAGTGGTTGTACCATTTTACAATCCCACCAACAATGTATGAGAGGTTTTTTTCTCACCACATCCTCTCCAATGTTTATTACTTGCTGTCCTGTTCAACTTTGCCACTGTTAGTGAAATGGTACCTCATTGTGGTTTTGATTCACATCTCTCTTATTGCCAGTGATTTTGAACATTTCTTCATGTGTCTGTTTGCTATTCGAACATCTTCCTCTTTCAGAGGAAGATATCTATGCCTTTTGCCCATTTTATAATTTTTCTTGTGGAGGCCCAGAAGTGTTCTATAGACTTTCGTTATGAGACGCTTGTTTGAGATGGTATTACCAAATCTGTGTTCCCAGTTGGTAGGTTTTCTTTTCAAGCAGTGGTGGTTTTAATCTCGGCAGCTGCTCCAGAGGAGAAAGGGGAAGCAGTTTGCCTGAATGGCGGCACAGCGTCAGAAACTCCATGTTGCAAACCCCGTGGTGTGAGTCTGCTGTGTCCGAGTCGTTTGCTATGAGTGAGTTCTGGCTTTGGCATTCTCAAACAGAACTCTTGGCGAGGTTTATCCTTGTCAGAACATTCCTCTGGGGATGACACAATGCAGGGCTGACCTTCAGGGCTTCTGGCAACAGGCTCTCTCTCCCTCAGTGACCTGTCCCCTGACTGGCATGTGTTTTGTTTCATTTATCAACTTTTCAATGTGATGTCAGCAAAAGTATCCAGGATAAACTAGTTTTCCATTCAGTTCCCACTTACCATGTTTTGTTACACTGATTAATTAATTACTGGTCCCACGTTTAACAGCACCTTCCCCCCTTGCTGTGTTATTCCTTTAGCCTGGGTCTATTACAGCTGCTCCCCTCCTAAGGCCACGAGGCTCCTCACTCACCACCACCAAATCAGTTCTGACTCAGAGTGACCACTCCCCTTTAATCTCCAAGGCTGCAGATAGAAATGGGAGGAGACTACCCATCTTTCTCCTCCACATCCCCAGACACACTCAGCTTTGGGGTTAGCAGGGCAATTCGCTTTGGATTATGTACTACAGTGTTTGCTGGTGTCAGAACAAACTACTTCTGGTCTAAAAAGGGATTGATAGCTGTCTTTCAGTAGATGTCATGAAGGAATATTTGGTTTGCTTTTACTTTCTCTTTTCTGATTTCCCTGTAATAGTGTTGTTGTTATGTACTGTTGAGTTGGAACCAACCCATAACTGACTCTCCAGCAGATTTTCAGAGGCAGTTAATGGCCCAAGTGAAAACTACCCATCTTTCCAAGCAGCTGATGGATTCAAACCTCTTGCCTTTGCATTGGCAGCACAACTCCTTACACTAAGCCACCAGGGCTCCCTTACTTGTAATGAGCAGGTTTCATTTTTCTGATTTAAAAAAAAAAAATCTCTAAACCAACCTAAACTAATTTTAAAAAAAATTAAAAAAGAAAATGTAGTACTTAAACATTTTTAAAAAAAAAGAGGGGGGGAAGACCCCAAACCACAACATAAAAGCTGACAAATAAAAATTGCTACTATCCCTGTGTTCCTGACTTGACCCTGGATGGCACTGTGATATATGTAATGAGTTCAGGTGTTGGTCTCCTGGTAGGGTGTCTGTCATCTGACATGCCCTTTTCCACAGTCAGGCCCTGCAGTGGGCTGGCACATGACAATTAGTAAATGCTGATGAATTACAACCTGGGATTGGCTGTCTGCCAGCCTGGAGGTGATTCTAAGGCTGCTCCCACCCTTCTTGCCACCAAGCCACACTATCTTCATTGATCTCATATATAGACATTCTAAACCTGAACAATGCAAAAGAAGGAAAAAGTAAAAGAAGGAAGGAGAACAGATTCATCTGAATTGTGTTGACAAAATACGCTGGTTATACAGGGACTGCCAGAAGGAGGAACAAAGCCATCCTGGAGCAAGTACTGTAGACATGTCATCAGGAAGGACCAGTCTCCAGAGAAGGACAGCATGCTCAGTGGTTGTTAAGTAAAAGTGAATCAGAGCCAACCCATGGCTGATCCCCTAGTGAGTTTCCAGGGGAAGTAGAAAGGAGACTGCCTATCTTTCTCTCACAGAACAATTGGTGGACTTGAGCCATGTGCCTTTGAGCTTGCAGTGAAACTCCTTACCACTAAGCCACCAGCACTCACGCTTGGTAGGCGGTCAGGAAATAAAAAGCTGGATAGTGACTAGGGATGATAGAAGGAGAATTGATGCCTTTGAGCTGTGGTGCTGGAGAAGAGTATTGAATATACCATGGACTGCTAAGAGAACCAACAGGTTCGCCCTGGAGAGAGTGAAATCAGGCTGCTTCTTGGAGACAAGGATTTGAAACTTTGTCTGACATACTTTGGGCATATTACAAGGAGGGACCAGTCCTCAGAAAGAGACATCATGCTGGGGGGCGTGGAGGGACAGGGCAGGAGAGGAAGACCCTTGATGAGATAGATTGACTCAATGACTGGAATACTGGGGTTAGGTGTGTCAGAGCCAATGAAGTTGACTCAGGATAGAGCAGGGTTCAGGCTGTTGTACATAGGGTCGCTATGAGTCACAAGTGACTTAACAGCACATAACAACAACAACAGGAGATGAATTGGCATAGAGCCTGCAGCAGTGGGCTAAAACATAAAAGACAACTGAGGCTGGGATAGAATTGAGCATTGTTTCCTTCTCTTACATACACAGGGTCAATATGACTCAATTGTACCTGACCACACCACCACCACAGGCTCTGGGCCCCACCTCACCTGCATCCACTGGGCAGGGGTGCTCACTGGAAACAGGAGATACTCTCTGCTGGACAGCATCGGACAGAGCTTGAGGTCACCCTCAGATCTGGGACGAACGGTGCTGGCCTCCTTGGCCTCAGCCCATGTTTCCAGCTGCACTCTGAGTGGTGCCTGCCCCTGGGCCCAGTGTGTTTGAAGACGGGGCGTGGGCCCAGCCTGCTGGAGCTGGGCAAAACCAACTCGATGGGCACGAGCCTGGGCCACTGCCTCAGCCCAAGCCTCTAGGACCCTGGGGGAGAGGGGGAGTCACATAGAGAGCCCTGCCAGGAGCCCTCCATCGCCCTTGCCAGTGTGCTGATGTGAAGGGGGCCTGTAGGCAAAGCACCAGCCTGGTGGCCCTCATTCTCTACTTCTGTTCCTGGGAAACTGGGATAAAAGGGGCACAAAGAGAGCCTGAGAGGGTGAATTATCACCCAACTGGCAAGGTCATCCTGCCAGCTCTGCTTCTTCATTGAAGGCCAGTGCCAACCCTGAAAACCAGTGCCACTGAATCGATCTTGACTGAATAGTGACCTTTTCTCATTAAGATTCCCAGGTTGGAAAGTCTTGATGGGAGGAGACTGCCCATCTTTCTCCCAAGAAGCAGCTGGTGGATTCAAACCATGGACCTATTGGTTAGCTGTGGAACATGCTATGCACTACACAACCACTGCTCTTTCTCACTTCAGTATTTGTTTTCTGCTGTTGAGTCGGAACTGACTCATAGTTGAACCTCTAGTGAATTTTTAGTACATCACACCGGAGTTGATCGTTCATCTTTCTCCTGTGGCGCAGCAAGGGGATTTGAACTACGTGTCTTTGGGTTGGCAGTGTAGCTCCTTGCCACTAGGCCACTAGAGCTCCCTCTCTCACCAGAGGGTCTCTTTACTGAGCACCTGCTGTGTTCTTGGTCCTGAATGGGGTGCTTTCACACATCTTTCACTCCTCTCCCTTAGTCGCCCTACAAGGCAGGTTGTATCTCCCTTTGACAGTTGAAGTTAGAGATTTTCTCAAGAAGGGCATCTAACTTGATAGTTAGAAAGGGGTGGAGTTGAGATGTGGCCCCAAGGCTAACCACGATGATCCGAATCACCTCTCTCCTCTTTGCCTCCCAGCCACAGGACACCCTCCAACCCTGCCGAAAACAGATCCCAGGCCCTGGGGTTCTCACCGGGTGCTCAGCTTTTGGGCAGCATGGACTTGGCTGACCTGGAGCAGGTGGGACTCATATACCCACAGCATCCAGCATAGGGCCACCCTGGCCCAGGCCTGGGTCTTCTCTTCTGCCTGCCGTCGAGGCTCCTGGTGCTGGCCAGGGGCCCTCCGCCATGCTACATACGCCTGCTGGGTGCAGGTCTGTCTCAGCCTCTTGTGCGCTCGACCATGCAGCCTGACCTTGCTCCAGCAGGAGATGGCAGCCCCGGCCACAAATTGCTTCCGAGTCTGGACTACAGCCACCAGGGCTTCCCACCACACAGCAAATGCAGCCCCCAGCACCCTTCTTGTTCGGTTGTCCCAGAAGACTCGGCACTGGGTTTGGAGTACCCTAGTCTCCCTCACAAACCCCTGCCAGGCCTGGAAATGGCTGGAAAATAGGAGCAGGAGGTGGGGTTCAGCAGATGCTTGGAGAATAGGCAGAAGTCCCAGTCACCCAGCTACACTCTCTAATCCCCCACCAAGGACCAACTGGTTTTGCATACACAGTCCTGCACCTTAAATATGTACTGGCTGATGTGTAACAAGGTGAGAGCACCAACGTAGGGGCCTTGATGCAAAAAGCTGCTGTCTTGGAATGTGAGGCTCAGTTTCTATCAGCATGAGGAGTGGGAATTGTTAACTGTGGACTTAAATTCCATTTCTGCCCCCCTGAGGCTGGGCAGTTGGCCTCCCACTCCCTGATGGTCCAATCAAATGTCCATGCTGTTCAGATGTGAAAGATCAGGCGTCAGTCAGTTACACTGAGGTCAGTGGTTCCCTGCCCTGATGCACACCATGAGTATGTGTGAATCTGCAGCTGAACCATTTAAGGAACATCATCTGTGCTCTACGTTTTCACTTTTTTTCCTCTACTTTAAAAAAAACTCAAACTCATGGCAGTTGTGTTGGAGAAGAGCCCTGAACAACCCATGAATGGCCAAAAGAACAAACAAATATGTCTTGGAGAGGGTGCAGCCAGAGTTTTTTTTCAAGGCGAGAATGATGAGGCTTCACCTCATATACTTTGGGCATGTTGCTATGAGAGATTATTCCTTGGAGAAGGACATGATGCTGGGAAGGGTGGAGGGTCTGCGAAGGAGAGGAAGAACCTTGACCAGGTGGATTGACATGGTGACTGTCACAATGGGTTCTTGTGTGTCAGGAAGTGTGAGAGTGGTGCAGGATAGAACAGGGTTCAGATGTTTACAGGGTCATACTTGACTCGATGGCATCTAACAACAACAACAGCAACACAGCTGTCGAGTTAGTTCCAATTCATAGCAGCCCTCCATTGGGTTTCTGAGACTGTAAATCACAAGGGAGGAGACTGTCCACCTTTCTCCAGTGGAGTCACTGGCGGATTAGGACAGCCTTGGGGTTAGCAGCTCAACTCAGTAAGGACTAGACCATCAGAGGTACTTTGGCACGTGCATTAATAAACTATACATATTGTATTTTATAAACACAACACACACAGTACCCATAGAAACTGACATTAAGGGGCTATGGTCCAACCACAAAACATGTGTTACTTATGTACACCCTCTATTAGAACATCTTAGTATTCAACTTAACATTTCACACTTTTCTCTTTGTAATAATAAAGAGTCATCCTATGCTGGCTCTTCCACCAATAACTACAGTAGTACGAGCTAGCTTTTATTATCAGGGAGGTTGGAGGAGATGGGTTAGCCCATTTCAGTCATACAGTCTGGGGTTCCTGGATGGTACAAATGGTTAAAACATTCAACTGCTAACAGAAAATTTAGAGGTTCAAGTACACTCAGAGCCACCTCGGAAGAAAGCCTGGCAATCTACTTCTGAAACCTCAACCATTGCAGCCTAGGGAGCAGAGTTCTACACACACAGAGACGTTTACCTCCACACATGTTGTTGTTATGCGCCCTTGACTGAACTGTGACTCATAGTGACCTTATGAATAATGGATCTGAACCCAGAAAGCTGTGCCATGCTCACCGTCTCTGACACCCTTAAGCCCTTTGTTAGTTATTGCGTCAGTCCATCTTGTCGAAGGTCTTCCTTTCTTACACTGACTCTCCATCTTTCCAAGTATGACATCTTTTTCCAAGAACTGGCCCCTCATAACAATATGCCCAAAGCCTGTGAGGCAGAGTTTCACCATCCTTGCCTCCCAGGAGCACCTTGGTTTCACTACCTCCAGGACATCAACTCAAGGGCAACTGGTTGCTTTTTAAGGGAACTGGCATCTTCTGGAGCCTTAGGGCCACCTGGCCAAGAAGCAGCATCTTGGGGCTGGTTAGGGTCAAAGGCTGTGCCTGGGAGTTTGTCATCCTTTCCCCAAAGCAGAAGTCAGGGCCCTCCACTTCAGGGCTGGGCCTTCCTGTCATCCTCTCCCTTCCCATTTCCTAGGCCCCAGACCTCCCGCCTAAGCCTCCCACAGAGCTGCAAAGATGACCCTATTGTCCCCTGGGCTGTCTCCCAGCATTTCTAGGGGTGGGGATGTCCCTCACTGGCTTGCTATTTTCCCACCCCCAGACCCACTCACCTCTGCAGTAGGAGCCGCTCTGGCCTCGTCACCCTTTGTCTCTGATGAGCTGTGGCCTGCTGCCAGCCCTGGAGCATGGCCTTTCCTAGGCCCTGGAGGCGAACTCGGGTCCACGCCTGGTACTTTTCATGCAAGACCTGCTGCCCTGTGACCAGAGACACTGAAGTGCTGCTGGGAGCTCCACACTAACCCTTATTCACCAACCCTTTGTCCTCTGCTCAAATGGGGCCAGAGGAGGCCAGAGGAGGCCACTGTAACTGTCCAAAGTTAAGATGCTTCCATCACAGGTACCTTATTGGTGATCAGACCAATCAGCTAATGTCGTTCACTTACTTACTTCTGTGGAGTTGAAATTGCCTCATAGGTGACCCTCCACTGGGTTTCCAAAGCAGCTGTAAACCATAGGGGTGGGGGTGGGTGAATCCCTATCTTTCTCCTGAGAAGCTGCTGGTGGATTCTAATTGCCAGGGAGGCATGGCCTTTGGATCAGCAGTGCAACTCCAAGGGGACAATGTCACCAAGCTCCCTAGGTCAGCTTGACTAGGCTCTGATTTTCAGTTTATATAATCATCCAATATTCTGTGATATGATGTAATTCCCCATTGTTCTAGCCTCTGTGATGTTAATGAGGCAGAATTAGTGGTAGTTACATTAAAGAGGAGGGAGCTGTGGTCACCTTCTATGCAAGAAGTTGCACTACCAACCCAAAGCAGGCAGGCAATTTGAATCCACCAGCAGCTGTGTGGGTGAAAGATAGGCATTCTCCTCCCATGTGAATTAGAGCCTCTGCAAACTCAATGGAGGGTCAGTTGTAAGTCAGTTCCAACTCAGCAACAATGATTTTGAGATTTGGGTTGGTTTTGTGGTTTGTTTGTTTTTTATCTTGAGGCAGGCTACAACCTAGAAGATTAAGTCGTATCTTGAGTCTGTCTCTTTTGAGATTTATCAGAGATTAAACAGGTGAGTAGAGCAGAGTGAGCAACCTACCACCACCAAGAAATAAGAGCTAGGAGTAGAGAGTGACCTTTTGAAACCAGAGGCCCTGTGCTGAGAATCTCCTAGACCCAGGGCAAGACTGATGTCAGGATACACAGAGATCTGAAGGAATGCCGAGCCCACAGTTGTTGAAAGAAGATGAAGATTTTCCTCCAAAGCTGACACAGATAGAAAGCCTTTCCCTAAAGCTAGCACCTTGAATTCTGACTTCTAGCCTCTTAAATTTAGAGAGAAGTTTCCATTTGTTAAAGCCATCCACTTGTAACATTTCTGTTACAGTGGTGCTAGATAACTAAGACATGTGGAGAAAGTGAAGTAGCTTGTTTGAGGTTCACACATCCAGAGGATGGGAGAGCAGGAACTCCAGCCTGTATCTTCAAGCTAGTCTCTGTCACTTCTCCTGGGATCGCCTCTGTAGGAGGTCCTATCCCTGAACTCTGCTGAAGGAAGTACAATCCTGGTCTTTTCCTCACCTGCAGTGCCCCTGGCCCATTCCCAGACTCACTCTGCCAGCAGGAGTGCCAGTGGTGCAGTGCATTATGTTTCCGTCTCCAGCCCTGCACCTGGGCCCATTGCTCCTCTGCCCGCTGCTGCTCCAGCCGCCGGCGCCACAGACCCAGAGCAGCCTTGCAGTTCCGGGCCCAGGCCCAGTGGGCTGCCAGCTCTCTCCGGGTCCTCCGCGCCATTGTCCAGTGATTCCATCTGAGGAGAACGCTGAGAACGGGAGTGAGTATGCTGAGGCTGGTCGCTGCTACTCTGGCAGCTGTGCTCCTGCAGGCGCCGCCCAGTTGCCCGCAGAAAGGTCACCCGAAGGGTCTCCAAGAGGGCAGGGTCCCTCGGAGCCTGGGCATGGGGACTGGAGCAGGAGTCCCAGGACTTCACCCTCCTCCCCAGCATGAGTGACTCTTTTCTTTGTTTCCATCATGGGGCAGGGTGGTTCCTGGGAGGCTGGAGGATCACTCCTCTGTGGATCACAATGGCAAATGGTGGGGCAACGAGGGCACCCCAGACCCCCAATAACAAGTCATATGTTTAGCCATTAGCAAGAATTGCTCTAACTGCACATTACTGTGTGCCAGGCTCTGTGACTGGGGATGCACTTGCCCCTACCTCAAAAGTGTCCACTAGAGTTTTCTGCAAACTATCATCACCCCATTTTACAGATGAGGCAATAGAGGCACAGAGAAGTTAAACAGAGACAGAAGGATTAGAACCCAGGCAGAATGACTCTACAGCACTGTGCTTTGAGTGAGTAAGTGAACGAATCACAACCAGGAAATCTCTGAGAGAAGTGATTATTCCACAGCATGTTCACGTCCCCCAACCTGATCAGGCAGAAGAGGAGAGCAGGAGGAGTTCAGAGGAGTTGAGTTGGGGGCTGAGCTGGCTGAGCATGCATGAGCAGGCCTGCTAGGATGCAGACCCCAAAGGGATGCTGCTGTGAGGGTCAAGGGTGGATAGGGAGAAGGCGCTGGAAAGGTCAGAGAAAAACCCACAGACTGACCCATGCTGGAGTGAGGGGTCCCTACCGACTCTGGAGGGCACGTTGGTAACTCCTCACTGCATCCCATGCCTGCTGGACTCGCGTCTGCCAGAGCAGAAGGCTGTGTTCCTGCAGGCGCCGCCCAGTTGCCCTCAGAAAGGTCACCCGAAGGGTCTCCAAGAGGGCAGGGTCCCTCGGAGCCTGGGGAGGAGGGTGAAGTCCTGGGACTCCTGCTCCAGTCCCCATCCCCTCCTCCATCTGCCTGCCCAGCCTTCCCCCTTGTGCCCCACCTTCTCCGGGGATCCCCTGTGTGAGCTACAGCCCATCAAGGCCTCCTGGGTGGGGTTACTGCTCAGTGGCTCCAGGGCCCAGGTGGTCTTCATGCTGTGGGATGGAGTGCAGGGACGCGGCACGCTTGAATGCCATTGGCGCAGGACATACTGCAGGGTCCGCTGCTTCAGGCTCCGGAGGAAGACGCTACAGGAAGAGGCACATGAGTCTCTGGGACAGGAAACCTTGTCACCTCTCCCAAACTGAGAGAGAAGCTATCAATATTTGCTACCCTGAGCCCGGCTCCTGAGAAAACCCAGCTGGAAAGGTGTTTACCATGTGTTCCCTGGGCCCCACTGACTCCTAGACTGACAGCTCATGGGAATCAAGGCGAGCTTCCAGAAATACCATTGCCCGTGACCTCCTCTCCCAGGGACTGGGATTTGATGAGCTGGGGGTGACTCAGTCATGATCTCTCTACAACTCCCCAGGAGCTCCAGTGAACGGCCAAGGATGGCTCTCCACTGATCCTCACTGCTCTCTGGGGTGGCTGATAAGGGGAAGAATGAGACCAGACCCCAGTGCCTCTACTCTAGTGGCCACAGGCATAACCATACCAGCAATCCTGCTTCTATTCCATTACAACGACAGGGGAGAGGAGACCTGGGAAGGGCCATGTTGTCAAATTCCCATCTCAGGCCAACAGGGCAGCGGAACCGTGGCTGGTGCTAAAGGCCAGAGGATGGACTGAGGGTCTGAACTCGGAAGGCTCACAGTCAACTAAGGTCCCCTGAGAGGGTCCAAAAGTGCATTAAGAGAAATTAAGAGTCTCCAAGTAAGTGTGGGGATGGCAGGCCCCAGATGCATGGCGTTCAACTTGGGTTCTCCCTGGCTCCTCACCAGGGAAGCTGTCCGGTCCTTCACCCACAGCCACCAGCCTGGAGTTGGGGTCTCAGCATTGGCTATTATGTGTACAAGCAGCTCTGTGGAATCACTACAGAGCCCTCTCCACACTCCTGACTCAGAGTGGGATTTACAGCAAGCTGCTCAACCCCTCTGAGCCCGTTTCTCCAATTTTTGTATAAGGAGACACACAGCAGATACGAGGTCTCCTCAAGGCTCCATTATTGCTTTGCTTGTAGTACCCATCCTGGGCCTGAAGCCTGCTGGGCACGTGCTGTGCACCTGATGGACATCGGAGTACCAGTGGTGAGCAAACAGACAAAGCCCCTGCCACAGGGAGCCCCATCTAGAGGGGGTGATGGGCAAGGGCTAGTCCAGATTCTGGGGAGGGATAGGTCAACCCATCTGGCAGAGTTGCAGAGCTGTGTCCCCACAGCTCTTAATAGCCCTCTGCCCAATCATAGTCTGTCCATGCCAGGCCCACCTTGGGGACATGGATGGAATGTAACCTGTGCCGTACCATCAGGGCACTCCCAGTAATGAGCACTGCTCCTGGCCCTGCCCTGTGCCCGAGGCCCCATCGTGTGCCCCCAGGCCCTAGCCCAAGCTCCAAGTTCTCAGACACCTACTTGGCCTGCTGGTGCAGGGAGAGCTGTGTCCTCCAGAGCAGCAGCGCCCGGTGGAGGGCCAACCGCCGGCAGGCTTTCTGCAGGGAGCCCTGGCTTCGCTCCAGGAGCTGCTCCTGAGCCTTGGTCACCGCCCTGGGGCCCCAGGCTGTGGAGACTCTGGGGGCTGGGCTGCAAAGAGCTGAGCTCTCTAATAAAAAGGCAGAGATAAACAGACACACTCCTGCTGAACTTCTGCACAAAGCTACTGCCTCTGGCCCCCTCTTGACCTTTTCCCTCATGGCCCCTTCCCTTGGCCTCCAAACCTCCCCTCCCCTTCCCATCTCTCCTCATAAGATGCTTTCAATTGTTTTTTTATGGTGGTAGGGAGGTGGGGAAGGGGTGCGATTCCCAGGAACAGGGGTTGCTTTCTCTGCATCCAACCAGGAGATCAAACTCTGTCCGGGACCGGGACCGAGGGGTGTGGGATAAACCAGACTGAGCTGTCAGGCTTCAGCAAGTCCAAGATGGGAGGTAATGGAGCTGTGAAATGTGTCTGTCTGACCTACAGAAGGTCATGATAGGAGTGAGGATGTGACCCAGTCCCCTGTTAGGCCCCTCTTCTCCCTCCCATCAGACGAAGTTAGAAATCGTGCAGGGCACACTGAATTAGCTGTCCTTTTTCTGTGGGGTCTGAGAAGTCCCACTGCAGCCCGGTCCCTCAGCCCATCATTCGCTCACCAATCTTCTGCCGCCAGAGGCACAGCTGGGTCACCTTCACCCCATCTGAGATGTGGAGCTTCTTCATCTGCACCCACTGTCGCAGGCATGTGTTCAGGGTCCTCACCCGGCAGTCAGTCAGGAAGTCCCGGCACCGGGACTCTCTTTGTGCAAACCCCTGCCAGGTTCTAAGGCACCTGTGAGGACAGAGGAGAAATGGTAGTGACGATCTTAATGACCGGAGGGCCAGCTGCCTGTTAATGTGTTGCTGAGGGTGTGGGCAAGATGCTGCTTCACTTTTCTGAGCCTCATTCTCCTGATCTGTGAAATGGAGCCGCTGTAAGGATAGCACGGCACATCCTGCCAGGCTATGGAACCATCAGAGCTTGGTTCGGCAGCCTCCTGCCCGACTTCCCCACACCCACTTTTGTTTCCCTCTAGTCAGTCTCCTTCTTGCTTGGATCCACAATCAACACCCTTGGTACCAGCAGTCAGGAGATCAGGAGAAATATTGCTGTGGGCAGGTCAGCTGTCAGGGACTTCTCCAAAATACTGAAGAGCAACCAATGATGTCAGTTTAAAGACAATGGTGCACCTGATTCAAGCCATGGTCTTTTCAATCACTTGCTATGCATCTGAGACTGGACAATGAATAAGGATGACAGAAGAATTGATGCCTTTTGAGTCCTGGTGCAGAAAAACACAGAATATCTCATGGACTTCGAAAAGAACAAACAGGTATGTCTTGGAAAAGCTGCAGCAAGGGTGTTCCTTCTAGGCAAGCATGGTCAAACTTCTCACAGACTTTGTGCTTATTTATAGAAGAGGTTATTTCTTGGAAAGGGACTTCATGCTTGGAGATGTCAGTGAAAAAGAAGACGACCCCCAACGGGATGGATTTGACACAGTGACTGAAGCAATGGGCTCAAGTGTATCGGAGACTGTGAGGATGGCACAAAATAGGACAGGGTTCAGATCTGTTGTTCATAGAGTTGCTGTGAGTTGTATTCCACTTGACAGCACCGAACAACTACAACAAGTCAGCCTCCAAATGGCTGTCATTGCTAGGCGGTAGCTTGAACTCAAAGTGATCCTGTGTACAAAAGAACAAAACCCTGCCTGATCTTGTATCATCCTCATAATCTCTGCTGTGCCCATTGTTCCAGGTTCTAGTCCTTTTGGTTAACAGTGTGATTTTTCCCCCCACCAAGTCTCAAACCAAATGATCCTACTTTCCTGCTTAAATCCTCCAATGGTAGCCCCTGCCCCCAATGTTCTCCAATAAATCATTTCCCTAGCCAGGCATTCACATGTGTTAATGGCTGGTTACCCAATGCAGACAGAGAGTGGGGTGGAGCTCCCCATTTAAAATAAGCTTGGAAGGAGGAGTGGCATCCACTTCCATAATAGCTTTCCTCTGGAAACCCTATGAACCTGGAGAGAGGATGATAGACACCCAAGCGTTGAGGACTCTTCTTCATAGGGTCACTATGAGTCGCCTGCGACTCCATGTCACTTAACAACAACAAACAGCCAGGCATACCTTTCCAGTATCATCCCTACCATTTCCTGTCTCTGTTGTTCCCTCCCTATCTTGTGTTGCTCTGTCTCAGGGCCTTTGCAGATACTTTTCTCTCTGATTGGCACACCCTTCCCCACACTCCCTCCACGAGTTAACTGCCCACTCTTCAGGTCTCTGCTAACACTATGCTCTAGGTCAGCTTCCTTTGTTAAAAGTTGTCGTGGAAACCAAAGGGAAGAAATCAACAACATACAGGTGGCAGACAATTTTACTGAACCAATCACCTGGTTTCTTTGGCATATAAATGGCAAGGAGTATATAAAGAAGATGGGGATCCCATAAAGGAAAGATTTTAGCAAGAGGTCTGGTGGCTTAGTGGGTAAGGAACCGAGCTGCTAACCCTCCAATCAGATCCACCAGGTGCTATTCGGGAGAAAGATGAGCAATCTCTTTGCCACGGGATTTAGTCCTGCTGAAAAGCCACTGGAGGATGGAGTTACGAGTTGGGTTCAACTTGAAGGTACATAAGAAAAGCATCAACCAATTCTGATGCTTTGACTTTATTCAGATCCCAGTTCAAGCAAATGATGATAAAAATCTGTATCTGTGGCACAAATGAAACTATGAAAGATGTTGTCCACTGTTGAGTGAATCGAACCTAACTTATGGTGACTCCATGTGCAGCAGCGCAGAGCTGCTCCATTGTTTTCTTAGCTGAACTGTCATCTTTATGGAAGCAGATCACCAGGCATTTCTTCCATGGTGCCACAGACTTGAACTGCCTATTTTTAGGTTAGCACCTGATCGCAAAACACTTGTGCCATCCACCACGCCCCTTGGACATTTGAATACGGATCAGGTCTTTGTTCGTATTAAAGAATTCTTGTTCAGATTTGTGGCCCAACTTTCAGCTAAACAAGAGACAGACCTTCTAGGAGGTCAATAACACCAGGGAGGCACTCACTTCTTAGAACAACCAAAAGAGCAGCATTTGCCCAAGGATAAAGCCCAGGAGGCAGGAAAGGGTAGGAGATAGAAAGATTAATGGAAATGAGAATAACAGGGAGGGAGTGGGGAGAAAAGTGATTACATCCAGGGTTTCATAACTGATGTTATAAAATAAAATGCATATGAATGGTTAAGTGGAAAATCAATTTGCTTTGTAAACTTTACTCAAATCACAATTTAGAAAAAGAAAAATCATACAAAAATTATTATTGTTCATTTTCTTGAGTGTGGTCATAGGATTGTGGTTGTATTTTTTTATAAGTCCTTATAGAGAAATACACAAGAATAATTATGGATAAAATAACATGATGTTTGGGATCTGCCTACAGAATGATGCAAGAGGGGAGCAGTAGTTGGGGTACAGTTTAAAAGCAATATATGATTGGGTATTATGGTTATGACAAGAGTCCAGAATGAAGGTTGTATAGTGGAGTGTACGAGAGGGGGTCGGGGGAGGGAGCAGAGGGATGGTGTAGCAACGAAGGAATTTTTCTTTTACTTTTCAAAAAGAAGAGTGAACTAGGGGGGAGGAGTGGGAAGGGAGAAAAATGCAACAATGAATGAATGAAAATCCAAAATCTCTGTAAATACTCATTAAAATGAATAAAATAAAATTTAAAAAAATGATTCTTGCAAGGTGACTTTGTTGAAGGTAGTGATGAGTACATTGAGGTTTATGAGCCTATTCTTTACATACTTTTGTGTAAGATGAAAATGGTTTGCAATAAAAGGTTAAGAAGGTTCCGTCCCTACCTATCCCTCCACTCCCACCCCTTTCTCCCTTGGGGTCCCCTACATGTCTTACTAGTTATTTTTGCACAGGTTGGTGGGAGGATCGGGTGAAAAAACAGGATAATGATGGGTCAAGTCCAATGGTGATTGATCTTATAAAACATAATGCATGAGAATGATTGTATGAAACACAACGTGAATGAAGAATAGTGTGAAACACAATGTATACGAACTTTGTAAGCAAATCAAAACACAAATAAATATATTTCTGTGTTGTTGACAGAGGGTAAAGAATAATAATAATATTTGCCTTCTCACATTTCTGGGGAAAACAAGTTAGGAAGGAAGAAATCCCAAACTCTCACTGGCTTGTTCTGATTTCTTTCTTGCCAACGCATGCTACTCAGGAAAGAATCACACACTTAGTCATTGCTCATCGATTTCCGGTCTGCTTCCCTTCCTTACTCAGGTCCCTCAGATCAAGCGTTGTTTAACCAAGCCCCAGCCTCTGGGGTGGTGTCCGGGACATCGTGTTAGGAGGTTAGGTGTCATCAAGTCAATTTTTACTCCCAATGACTCCATATGACAAAGCAGAAAACCCCATAGGGTTTTCTTGGCTATAATCTTAAAAGGAAGCAGATTGCTAGGTTTTATTGCCATAGAGCTGCTATGTGGGTTCAAACTGCCAACCTCTCAGTTATTAGCTGAACACCTAACCCAAGCTAGTTCCCAGGGAATCCACACCCGCTTTTGGATGCCCAGGCACTTGGTAAACAGCAGCCATTTTCACTGGTTGTTTCCATCCTTATCATTTAGCACCTTATCATTTAGTCACTGAGAGCTGATTTTAAGGGCTCCTCCCTGCTGGCCCCACTTGCTGCCCTGCCCAGCACCCCCATGCCCTATCTACCCCCTTACTTGCAAAGCAAATCTCGCTGATGCTGGGACTTAAGTGGGACCACCCTTGCCGGGGCTGCAGCAGGAGCCCGGCTGGCCTGGGGGCACCACCCCACTTTCTGAATCCTGGGCAAGGCTGAGGGAACTTCTCTCCGGACTCCCCTCTCCTGCCTGGCCAGGCTCTTGTGATGGCACCACAGGAGGAAGACTGCAGAGATGGGGGCGGAGAGAAGAGAAGAGAGTGAGCTTACGGAAAAGATCAACAGGGGCCCCTGACACCAAGCACATCTAGCTATGTGCTCCCTGTCCCTGGGTCTCGGTTTCTCTTCAAGAGAGTGAGACTTAGCTCTAAAGTTCATATTTCTGCCTGGGCCTTTATCATCACAGCCCCTCATGTTGTGTGTCCTTGAACAGTTTATTTAACTCCTCTGTGCCTCAGTTCTCCACCAGTAAAATGGGCATGCTGCCTTGTCAAGGCCATTGGGAGCTCAAGTGAGATTGTAGCTGAGAAGATGCAGAAGTAGAAGCTCTGTAAGCACTGGCTCCCTAAGGACCCACTGCACTGCCTGGTGGGGTGGAGGTGCTCAGACCCTGTCTGGCCTGGCTCCATCTGTTCCCCCTACCCCCCACCTTCTCCACCATCTCACTAGTCAATTGCTGTAAGGCCTCCAGGATCTGGAGTCTCTCATCTCGGCCGTCTGGTCTCAGCCCAGGATGGGAAGGAATCGGCCAGCCTCCCTTCTTCTTCAGGATTCCTGGACTGAGAGGAAAAGTGGCAGGTCCAGGGAGGGTCCCCAGCTGCCACCCAGCCCGCACTGGTGCTGCCCACACATGGAAGCAACGGGTGCAGAGCCATCTCACTCTCTCTCAGATCCCTCATTTCATGCCTCATTATAAAAGGTCACCTCTGCTTTATTCTCTTCAACAATTTTTATAAATAATTTGTATTTTTCACAACAAAAATATAATAAACCAAACCAAGGTCCACTGCTGTCAAGTTGATTCCAAGTCATGGTGACCTGAGAGGACAGAATATAAATGACTCCAGTGTTTCCAAGGCTGTAAATCTTTAAGGGGCAGCTAGTGAATTCAAACCCTCGACCTTATGGTTAGCAGAGGAGTATTTTAGCCACTGTACCCATCAGGGCTCCTATGTGGTAACATGAATATTACTTACTAAATAGTCATTTTAAGGTTGTTGTTGTTTGTTGTTATGTGCCGTCGAGTTGCCTATTACCCACAGAGACCCTGTGTACAGCAGCTCTGAACCCTGCCCTGTCCTTAGCCAGTCTCACTAGTTCTGACATACCAAGCCCCATTGCCACAGTCACTTTATCAATCCATCTCACCGGGGCCTTCCTCTCCTGCGCTGTCCCTCCACCTTCCATCCACCTTTCCACCTTCCATCCACCCTTCCATTTTAAGAGACACTTGTTGAATTTAAAAAGCAGAACAAAAATTATATTGTGCCCTGGTGTGCATTACGTGTGCACTGTAACTCCAAAGACTGGCACTTGGGACCCAACAGCAAAGGCGCCACAGGAGAAAGATGGGTGGTCTCCTGTGTAAAAGCATAACCCTCTCGGAGCCCAGCGGAGGGTCGCTAGGGGTCAGAAGTGAGTTGATGGTTGTAGATTTTGGATAGTGGAAAATTGGGAAAATGAAAAAACAACGGGCTGAAAGAAATCTCCCTGCTCCCGAGAGAAGTACTAGTTCCGTTTTAGCATATCCCCCCACTTTGGGTACTTTAAGAGGTCTTGGTGGCCGTTAGAATCTGCAGCCCGTTCTAAGGGAGAGAGCAGGCCAGTCTCAACCTGCCTGAGATTTACAGGCAGAGGGGTCACTATGCATTGGAAATGACTTAGCCACAGTGGGCGCTGCTGTCTGCAGTTAACTTTTTTGGTACTTTTTCAACGCACTCTTTTGTGTCGTTGAAAAATACTTCCAGAAAAGAGAACTACGTGGAGGATAAAAACTTCCAGGTTCATTAACATATTTCTAAGTCTTGGGTTTTCTTTTTTTTTTTTAATAAAATTTTATATTTTAATTGTGATTTTAACAAAAATTTACAGAAAAGTTAGATTTTCATTCATTCACTGTTGCACATTTTACCCCTTCCCTCTCTACTCCCCCTCCCCAAGTTGACTTTTTTTTAATACTAGTTTATTTACAACTTGAGTTTTATTTCTTAAATCAAGCATGCTTTGCTCTTGTGATTAGTAATGAAAGCAAGAAAAATATTAAAAAGAAACAGGAAGAATGTGATACTGAATGGTTGCCAAATGATTCAGGATGAGCTTACACTTTACTCACTCACTGCTATGCATTTAGGTTGTTTCTAAGTTTTCAAGATGATAAATAACACCATGCTGGACATCTTTTTTTTTCCCCCTCTCTCTCTCCCTACTAGTTTATTTACAAAATTCAAATACACTGTTTTCAAGAACAAATTCTTTCAATTTCCCTCATCACCCCACCCAACAAATTATACAACCCCATGATTAATCCCCCCTCTTCCCTTCCCTCCACCCACCCCCCCCCCCCCGTCCCCCTGCACATCCTTGTTCCTCTGCTTCCAACCACTCCCACCCCTCTTGGATCCTTATATTCATTCTACAATAATGGTTTTATACAATATTTATCCTTATGGGACTGAGTTAGTTCACTCAGCATAATGCTCTCCAGTCCCTCCCAAGTTAGGTAATAATTTACAAAATCATTGCTTCTGCTGGACATCTTTTTTGCATCAATCTTTGCCCTTATCTCATAGCATCATCATTGTCATGGTGGTGAGGGAGGGAGGGACAGTGAGGCAGGGAGCAGGGGAAGGCAGGCCCGCACTGCTCAGCAACCCTGAGGTGCCCTGGCCCACCTGTTGTGCCTCGTGGGTTCCACTGCTGCCTTCCTTCCTGAGGGTCCTTGGCCCCAGCCTCTCCCAGAAGGGAGAAATCCAGGCACAGCCTGGAGTCGGGGCTGCTCTGGCTTCTGCTGTGCAGCCAACTCTCTCCACTGGGTCAGGAGAGAGGAGAGAGAAGAAAGTCAGCGACAGCTTTGAATGTGATCCAGGAGTGGGCACAAGAAAGGGACAAGGGCAGGTGTCAAACACTTCACTAGAGTTCCAAAGCCCATGGTCTTAACCATTAGACAATCCTGTCTCCTTAGAGACGAATGAATGTACAGAGAGATGAAACCTGAGAGGTACGGCTTTCTCTAGGAGACAGAGACAAGTGCTGCGGCTTCCCTCAGCATGCCCTTCCAAGGTGGGAAGAACACGGATGTGCCCTCTGGCCCTGGCTGGCAAAAACAGTCATTTATTAAAGGCAAAGACTTAAATGGCAGGTGTTTGCTATGTTTGTTAGCCTCAAACAACAACAGAACCCTTGTGTTTTTGTGTACTGTAGAGTCGGAACAGACCCATAGCTGACCCTCAGGTGGGTTTTCAGAGGTTTATTGCATGTTAGGAGATTGCCCACCCTTCTCCCGCAGAGCAGCTGGTGGCCTCGAACCGAGTGCCTTCATGATTGCAGCATTGCTTCTTGTCACTAGGCCACAAGAGCTCCCTACACGAAACTATCAAGTACATATTAGTATTATCCCATTTTAGAGATAAGGTGACTCAGGCACATTGAGGTTAAGTAACTTGCCCAAGGTCAGTGACTCACTCAAAAAATTCATGGCTGTCCAGTCAGAACCAACTCATAGTTGACCCTCCAGCAGGGTTTCAGAGGCTATAAATAACTCAGGAGGACACTGTCCATTTTTGTCTCAAGGAGCCAGAGGGGTACCTTTGGGTTGACAACACAATCTCCTATGGACTAGGTCACCAGAGGTCGAGGAAGTGAACGCAGGGCAGAAGTGATTCAGGCACCAGGGCTCTTAACCATCACACAATGTGGCCGCTCACTCCTGAGGGGCAGCCTGCACCTTCTCAATTGATGGAGCTTCCTCCCCAGACATAGTAACAACTCATCACCTCCCTCTGGTCGAACCCGGAGGCCCCTGACCTCTCGGAAGCTCCGGGCCAGCAGGGCCTTCCGGTGCCGCGCATGTGCTGCCTGGAGCCTGGCCTCCCGAAGGTGGAGGGCCCTTCGCAGCACCCGCAGCCCCCTTCTCAGCAGCTGCCGTCGGCGCATCCTCTCTGCTGTCACCACGGTCTGCCACCTCTTCCTCCAGGCTCTGAAACACCTGGACAGCAGCTGCCAGCTGGGGACAAAGGGAGCTGGGCAGAGGGCAGAGCTGGGTCCAGCCCGCGGTCCCACCCAGTCTTCCCGTCCAGCATCTACAGCAGGGCAGACCAGCCCGGGCTTGGAGAATTTATCTTTTCTCCATGGCTCACGCATTCACTCACTCAACACCACTGGGTCAGAGCTGACTCATAATTGCCCCTCCAGGGGGGTTTCAGAAGCTGTAAATCACACAGGAGAAGATTGGCCATCTTTCTCTAGTGGAGTTGCTGGTGGATTCAAGCCAGCAGAGATGCCCTGTCTTTGTTTTGGGTCAGGAGCACAACTTCCTACTAGTTTTGGAAATCCCAGACAAACAAGCCCCTGGAGGCCAAAGGATGCTCCATTCGCCTGCCAAGACTCTGGAGAGGCAGAAGCATGACATTCTCCATGTTCCACACCCAGGAGCACCTCCACACCCCTGTCCTTGGACTCCAGGGGGCTCCCCTCATCCCAGCAGAGACAGCATGGTAGAAGGGAAGCCAGTTCCCCTCACTTTCCATCCTGTCATGGATAGAGCGTCAAGGCCTTAGCTCAGGTCTAGTCTCCACAGACCCAGACTAACAGGAGAGGTCCCCGTCCCCAAGTCCCGGCCCTGTGGCTTCTGGCCTTACCAGGCTGTCTCAGTCTCCAGGGTCACAATGTTTGGGGCCTTGTTCTGGGAAGGCAGAAGGATACAACACAGTTCTCAGGCCAGAGTGGGGGACAGGTGGACAAGACACCCCAGCCAAGCCCAAGGGTCTCTCTTCCTGGGGGAAGGGGTGGGACAGTGACTCAGAGAAACCCTGAGAGGAAGCAGCCCAGCCCCAGGGCCCCCACTCCCACCCCTGGCTCTACCTGCTGGATGCTCCTTGCTGGGGTGGTGTACAGTGGACAGGAAGAAGCCTCCCTGTTGACTTGCTCCTTCAGGGCCCCCTCCCCTCCTTCCTGCCCTGGCGGGACTCCCCAGGAGGCACTGGAGAAGGTGGGAGAACAGAGCCTAGCCTCCCCATTGCCCACCCTTCGAGGAAGACAGTGGCTCCCTCTCTGTTCCCCATCATATGCAGGCCCAGGGGAGCAGCTCTCTCTTCTGCTTAGGGGGTGGCCAGGAAGAACCTCTTGCTCAAGGTGGAGAGGATTCCCCATCAGTAACCCCAGAGTGATCGTGGATGCTGTTGGCTGGCTATCTGCTTGAGAGCTGGAGAGACAAGCCTGGGATCCTCGTGTCTTCTCCCTGAGGCTTCTAGGGCCTCTCAGAGTCTTGTCCAGGCGTGCATAAGCAGGCCGACTGGACTGGGGGCGGGCAGGGACTGCATGGCCACCGCTGGCCCAAGGGCCCCATAGAACAGGGTCCAGGGGTTTCTGGGATCCCCAGCACTTGAGTTGGGCTGCCTTGTGCTCTAGGCATTGCATGGAGGCCAGCAACTGGTGGCCATCATCATGGGATGGGGCCTGACACTGACTCTGGGCAGGGACAGTCAGGTCATCCAGGGTGAGTGGCTCACCCACAGGCCTGCAGGTCCATTGGTTCAGGACACAGGAGGCTCGGGGGCCTAGCTGAGGACATCCGTCTAAAGGGCTGAAGTCTGCAGGGAGCTTGAAGTCTGGGTCTGGTGGCTGGGACTGACTCAGGTGGGTCAGCTGCCTGCTGTAGCAGAGGGGGCTACCTCGGGGCAAGGTGTGGAGACCGAAGCTTTCCTGTGACTCTAACCAGAGGTGGGGGCCAGTGCTGTCTCCACACTCAGCCAAGCTGGCCTTGCTTAGGCTCAGATTGCTTTGCTGGAAGGAAAAGCTCTGGGCTTTCAGGTGGCGCCGCCCAGACCAGGGCTGCAGGTTGCTCTGCTGCAGGAATCTGGAGCGGAGCCTCTGGCCAGTCTTGTCCTCCAGAGTGAGGCTGGGGCTGCCCAGGTTGGTCTGGATGAGGCAGGGCTCCTGGTGCAGCATTGTCTGTGGGCAGGGCATGGGCTTTCCTTGCCTGACCTGGTATATGGACATCCGCTGGCCATGCTCACTGCCCAGACGGACACCTGGGCTCTTCAGGAATCTCTGTGGCTCTAAAGAGAGAAGAAAGACTGTCAGGCCTGGGAGAGGGGTCAACAAGGCTTCAAGAGTTGGGGCAGGACAGGCCCCAAGAGGTGGGAGTCAGGACTTCAGTCTCCCTGGGTGAACAATGAGATCCTGAGCAGAGGAGTGACATGGCTGTGACAAAGGGGGCAGTGTGGATGGAGAGAAGGTGGCTGGGACAAAGGGTGCGATGTGGAAGGGACCCACAGATCTGGAAGAGAAGGATGAAGACAACAGAAGAAAAATGACTCCGTGATTTCTAGCCTGAGGAACAGCGTCATGGGGAAGGTAGGGGAAAGCAAGATCGTCTATATTAAGCTTCTAGAAGGAGCTGTTCTGGGTAAAGTGGGCTTGGACATAGAGCCTCTCCCTCCAGACTGGTCCCCCGGGTCACTATTCAGCAGGAGACTGAAGAGAAGGAGGCTTAGGACCTGAGAGAATCAATAAAAGCTGCCACTGCTTCTGGGGTTACAGCAGCAAAGGCTCAGCGAGGTTAAGCAACTTGCCCATGGACACACAGCCAGACACAGAGAAACGGGGATGTGAATCAGAATCAGATCTTGCCCTTGGGTGGCTCTTGTCCTGAGCTGGATCAGCTCTGAGGCCTTGCAGCCCAGGGTGGCTGAGCAGCCAGGTCTGCTGATCCGACTCCTGGTCTGACATGTGGATCCCCTTCCCAGTCAGAGGTCTCCACCAGGTCTGCTCCTGGGGCCACTCTCCTTGACCTCACTCTGGCCCAGGCAGAGGAAGACTTTGTACTCACCCTTGATTATCTTCTAAATTAGCACTCTCTGGTTAACTTATTGCACTGCCTGGAGCAGACAGCTTGAAAGCAAGGGTCTAAAGCTACCACCCTGCCCCCCCCCACCCCAAAGCATGTTAAGCCTCTTGCCTAAACTCAGGGGGTCTTCAAGCCTCGGGGACACATTCTCCTTATAGCTGGCAGTGGCCAGCCTCAGTTTCACGTACTGCAGTGCAGAGGCAGGGTGGTGGTCTTGGTCCAGGGTAGAGGCCTTTGGAGAGGTCTGGCCTGTATGATGTACAGTGTTCTGAAGGCCGGGTCCCACTGGCCAGGTCAGATCACCCTCACTCGTAGCAATAATTCTTTACCCCCACATTCCAGCCCTCCTGCCCTTCCCAGCTCCACCCTGGATTGGATACTCACTGGCCAGGCCTCCCTAGGTCTCCTTTCTTTGCCCAATGTTCCTCCCTCTTTCTGTTGTAATTTCCTGGTGTCGGTCACTGTCCATTCCTTCTCACACTAATTGTACATCTCCAGCCCTCCCCTGCAAACTCTGCTTCCAGGCAGCTCTCCCAGCCCTAGGAATGCTGGGCCTAGAGGAGAGGCAGGACCCTCTCTGCTTCCAGATCATTCTCCCTCCCTTGCCTCTAAAGTGCTCTAGCTCCAGACCCCTGTCCTTCTACTGGACCACCATGCAGACCACCCCTCCTTAAAGCAGGCATCAAGAAAGTCTTTTAAAGATTTTGGCTCCCGGCTCACTGTCCCTTCTCCAACACAAATTCTTGGTCACTGCATCATCCACACAAACAGTTCCTTCCCATAATCCACGATCCTCCATCTGACCTCAGTTATTCACTCACAGGGCCTCTCCTGATATCTTGAAAAACTAAAATAAAATAAAAGAGAGAGAGAAGTTACTGTCCAGTCCAGTCCAGCTCACGGCGATCCCATTTGTGTCAGAGTAAACTGTGCTCCACAGGGCTTCCAGGGCAGCTTTCTCTGAAGTTCATCACCAGGCCTTTCTTCTGAGGCATTTCTAGGCTGTCAACAGTCAAGCACATTAATCACTTGCACCACCCAGGGACTCCTGAAAAAATGCCAAAAATTCAGCAACCAACTTGAGCCTCAAAATCCACTTGCAGCCGCTCTAGCTTACTACTCCCCCTAGTGGACCAATTCCAACAATCCTCCCCATGAGACCACAATGTCTGACACCACCACCTTGTCCCCCTGCTGTCCCCTAGATGTCCCTTGTCTCCTGACTGCTCTGTGTCCTCCTGATGCCTCCATCCCTCTTCCTACTGCCTATAGACCAAGGACTATAATCATCCCATTCAAGGCTGTCAAAGTGTCCCCCTCCATACCCCGTCTTTTACATCCACTTGGCAGAACCATAGCACCAGGGAAAGCCAGCTCCCGACTCTGCCTGCACCTCAGTGGGTGGATGTGGCTAAGAGTAAATCACTCAGCCACACTGATGGCCTCACTTCAGGCCTTCACCTACCTTCACCTTGTTGGTGTTACACACTGTCGAGCAGACTGTGACTCAGTGACTCTATGAACAACAGATCAGAGCCCTGTCCTATCCTGCACCGTCCTCACAATCTCTGAATGCTCAAGGCCACTGTTACACTCACTATGTCAACCCACCTCACTGAAGGTCTTCCTCTCTTTCCCTGACCCTTCACCTTCAACCAGATTGCACCCAAAAGGCTGCCCGAGAACCAGACTGTAGTGCTCTCTCTTGTATACATGATGCTGACTGCCACTCTCTCAGCTGACCTTGTACCTCAGCTGACCTTGCTTCCTATTTCATTCTCCAAACAGCAAGTCAGAAGGGATTCCACAAGGTGCACCACCCCTCTCCCCACGTCTCCCATCTGTCAGCACCTCTACTGCCCTCCTGTGGACCAGTTGTTCATGACCGACCTACTTGCTAAAAAATGATCTTGTCTCACCTACCTATGGACAGCACCAAGGGCCACATGGGGTGTCACAGGTGAATCAGGAAGAGCACCCCACAATCTAGGGTGCACAAAAGGTTTGAGTTGCCCCCCCCATCTGGCCTTCCACTGAGGGTCCTTAACAGAGCAGGACACTGCTGTAGCCATCCCACCCCTGTTCCATTACCTGCCTCTGACACTCCATCATCAGCACTCTTCCCTTTCCTAAACACCCCCAACACATACCACCACCTAGCCAGCCACTGTCTACTTGATCCCAACTCACAAAGACCCCATGCTTGTTAGAGAACTGTCCTCCGATAGCTGATCTTTCAGAAGTAGATTGTTGTCATTGTTGTTGTGTACCACAGAGTCAGAACTAACCTACAGCTGACCCTCGAAAAAGTTTTCAAAGGCAGTTAATCACGTGGGAGGAGACTGCCCATTCTTCACCCACTGAGACGAAGGCCTTGAACCACATGCCTTTAGGATTGCAGCGCAGCTTCTTGCCACTAGGCATCAGAGCTCCCTTGGAAATAGATTACCAGGGCTTTTTCCTCAGGTGCTTCTGGTTGGACTTGAACACTAACTTTGTAATTAGCAGCTGACAGCTGACCATGTTAACCATTTTCCCTACCCAGGTACTCTATCAGCACGTACACAGATGCTAATTTCTCCCATCTTAAGAAAATTCCCTTGACACTCTGGTCCCTGACCCTTTCTTCTCATTACATCCATTAGAAACTTCTCCCTGGAGTCCTTACTCTCTCATGCTGTATTCAATCCGTGAGCTGACTTATCGACTCTACCTTCCAACCCGCTGCCATTTCCTGCGGTAAGGACACAAGGAGAGAGCAGAGCCACAGGAGGGTGGACCGTTTAGTCTCTTCCCTGCTGTCCCCCTTCTCTGCCTGCGGCACACTGAACCGTGCCTGGCACACAGCAGGGGCTTACAAACGAGTGTTAAATGAGCCGGCAAACCACTCTACGCACCCTGCAGGCTTTACACTGCATCGTGCCATTTAATTCAGTCCTAAGAATGAACTTTCCAGTTGTAGGAGCTTAAATCTGGATTTACAGTGTTTTCCTATTTCAAGGGCCAAAACAACTGGACAGAGAACTCTAGTGGCTTAGTGGACATAGTTCTGCGCTGCCAACCCAAAGTCATGCTGTTCGAATACACCAATTGCTCCAAGGGAAAAAGATAGCCAGTCTCCTCTCGGTCAATTTATGGCCTTTGAAAACCCTCTGCAGGGTCAGCTATAAGTCAGTTCCTACTCAATGGCACATAACAATAATGATGACACAACTGGGCACCGGCGGCAGAGGGTCCAGCCCAGGCCTGACTCCATCGCTCATCCTTGACTCACCTCTTTCCAAAGGGTTCAAGGTAGCTCCGAACACAGCACCCCTGGCCTAGCACTACCCACTCCTTCTCTTCCTTCCAGACTCAGACTCTTCCGTCCGTCTACCTGCTCCTGGCTCCCCACTCCCACCCTCATCCTTGCCCACTGTAAGAGTCATTCAGACTCACTTTCCAATCCCGACCCAAAGCATTTACCTTCAGTTTTCCACTCGTCCTGGCACCGCTCTAGGGAGCGGAGCGGCTATTTCCCGCAGCTCTTCCTTCACCCGGTTGGTCTCACCTAGAAGATAACGACCTGGCCGGCAGGCGGGGTGGGGAAGGCAGTCCAGAGTCGTTGCGTGGCCGCGGCGTTGCTGGGGCGCGCGGGGCGCTGCCGCGGAGCAACGCGCTGAGTCTGCGCTTTGGGTCTCATCCTGGTGCCGCACAGCAGCCACAGGATGCGCGTGGCTCCGTGCAAATTCCTTGCCCTTCAAGGTCCACAGTACTTCTCCCAGCTTTCAAATCCTTCCCAAGTCTTGACCGACTGCAGTCTCGACTCTTTCTGCTTGCTACGTGGTTAACCCAATCATACTTTCTTGGGACTCCAAAAGTTTTACCTGCTAAACTTTGGCACATTCGTTTCTTCCCTGTGCTTGCCTTGCTCTTTCCTTTCTTTGCTCAGATAGTTTGCTTGCTTTCTTCTTTCTGAACTCCCACTAGGGGAGGAAAGAACACTGAACTAGGATTCAGAAGATTGGAGATCAAGATGGATTCCTAGGTCAGCCCTGTCTAACTTTTACTAAACAATGAGATCTGCGATTATGTGACCTTAGGCAAGTTCTGAACCTCGGGCTCTTCTTCTCCAACG